ATTGGGGGTGAGTCGTTGGCCCCCACGGAGAGGGCTTGCAACTTGGGTGTCCTCCTGGATGCATGGCTGTCCTTAGAAGAACATATCAGGTTCGCCTGATTCGCCAGTTGTGTCCCTTTCTGGATCGGGACTCCTTGCGCACGGTCACTCATGCCCTCGTTACTTCCCGCCTGGACTACTGTAATGAAACTCCCCTTGAAGAGCGCCCGGAGGCTCCAACTGGTCCAGAATGTGGCCGCGCGGGTGATTATGGGAGCGTCATGGTGCTCCCATGTAACACCTCTCCTGTGCGAGCTGCACTGGCTTCCAGTGGTCTTTTGGGTGTGATTCAAGGTGTTGGTTACCACCTTCAGAGCGCTCCATGGCTTAGGACCTGGACATCTACGAGACTGCCTTCTGCCGCCGAGAGCCTCCCACTGGCCAGTACGCTCCCACAGAGAGGGACTACTCGGGGTGCCGTCGGTCAAACAATGTCGACTGGCGGCCCCCAGGAGGAAAGCTTTCTCTGTGGGAGCACCTGCCCTCTGGAACGAACTCCCCCCGGAGATACGGACGATCCCAGACTTACAAACTTTCCGCCGGGCCCTAAAGACCTTCTTATTTCACCAAGCCGGGCTGGCCTAATTTTTAATTGTTTAATTTTAATCTGACTTTTAATGGGGTATTTAAACCGTTGGGCCAAATTATTTAATTTATTTTAAATTGCTTTTAAATTTTGTATTTTGTGTTTTTACCTTTGGCTGTTCACCGCCCTGAGTCCTTCGGGAGAAGGGCGGTATATAAATTTAAATATAAATAAATAAAATAAAATAAATAACAGCAACAAAATACAATAGGCTTTAGTAATATGTATGTTCCATAAGGCTGCAGGAGATATAACCTCCCAATTTAACAAAATGACTTTGGGTGTGTACAAAAATAAATTCAAATACAAAAACAATGCTTTAAAACCCAGTTAAAACCGTTATATGGTGACCAGACTAAAATGCCCTGCCGCACAATAATTGCGACTCCACTCTGACGCACCTCTCCTCCCTCTCTTTAAATAGCTTGGATTACTGAAAATGCAGTCTTACAGAAGAAGCAGAAATCGGAGATATGCCTTGTGCTTGTTAAGTGGAAAACATCCCACAACAGAATTAACTTATATCATCCCTAGGAAAATTTCATCACTTATGCAATGTAATAACAAGGATAATAATGCCATCTACTGGCTGTTTTTACCCCTTCACTGTAATACTGTTAACATTTTACAAGACATCATTCCTGTTCATTCATCTCCAGAATATTTCCAGGCTATTAAGGGCTTGATGTGGGAGTATAAACCCACAACCAATTTAGCAATAGAAAAGTCCAAATATCCTAGTGGAATTCTGCCTCCATTACAACTGTCCTGACAGCAGATATTTTACCGGAATGGTTGAAACAAAGCAGTCTCTGATATAGGTAAAGGTAAAGGTTCCCTTCGCACATATGTGCTCACTCATAAATGTAATCCGTGGATAAGATGATTTATAGGATAGGGAAGCAATAAACTACTCAAGATTTCAACACTAACGGCAGAGATTTTGTAAGTTCTGTTTCTGATGCAAAAATTTTAAAAAGTCTATTGCTTTAAAAATCTCCCCAAAATATCCTTTTGCCAATCTTGTTTTTTAGAGCCATCTTTATTTTATTTTTAATTAAAGAAAAATCGATATTACTATCAAGAGTGACTATGTTTTGTTTGGTACATCCTATGTTTATTTTATTTTATTTTTAAGTGGCACGTCCTGATGGAGATCAACCTTCTTCTCCATTTCAATCCGTTTTTTAAAAATATACAAAGCTACTGCATTATGACTGATAATATAATCACCGCTATTTGTCTCACCGATTTAGTTATTAGCTAGGTTGAATGTGAAGCATCCTTCAGTCACAGAGGTTCACACTGATGATCAAGATAACTAGTCTTAAGCTCTACTATTTCACCAGACTGGAAGTGGCTTATAAGAGAGGTCTTATCAACTGCCTCAGCTCCAAAGCCGTGTTTTTTACATCTCTCCTCCATGAGACATGATTTATTTATTTTTGTAAATATTAAACATAAAAATTAAATGTCTATGTGAACAGTGTGTTGACAGAGTGCAAGTGTTTTTGAGAAATAGTATTAATAATAGCACTAATATTCATAATAACATAACATTAATGATGCTCAAATAATAATAATAAAATTTACTTATCCGTTTTAATAAATCTTCCATTTAGTTAACCATTTCCGTATTTTTTAAGTTTCTAACTTCTGTTTCTGCTAGTTAGCCATTGATAAAATAAATCCCATGTTAAAAAGTATTCAGTCTCTTCCTTCTTAATTTTGAACGTTAGTCTATCCATTTCTGCACATTCTAATATCTTCATCTGTAGGGATCTTTTCGTTTTTCCATTGTTGTGCAAACAAAATTCTAGCTGCAGTTAACACCAGTGGTCAGTTGCCCCTGGTTCACACCGGTTCTATAGAACCGGTAGTAAAACTGCCGGGAGGCTCCGCCCACTGCCCCTCACATGATCAAAACGCTTCTGTGCATGCGTAGAAACTTTTGCGCTTGCACAGAAGAGTGTGCACGCGTGCGCGGCCCCATTGGAAACCGGTAATAAAGGTAAGTAGAACCCACCCCTGGTTAACACATGTAAGATTAAATATGTATTCCCTCATTTTCCATTCTTTTTGCTGACCTTTAGTTCTACCACATTTGACATTCACCAAGAATGAATCTGACTTGATATTGAATGTATTTTATCATCTCTAGATTAAGCTATTGTAAATCCTAAATGGGAGAGGTGTATGCTTCAGTTCTACGAATGATGGAAGTATTGGGTTTAGAGGTCAATAACCCAATTTCACTGTTATGACCCAGTTTTCAAGCTCTATAATCCGATGCATTAACATCGGTGTTTATTTGAAAGCTGCCAGTGTTATTGGAAGCTGTTAATGATTCCTGCAAAGACTATCATCTCTGCCACTGACTGAGTCCACATTGTTCTGGGCTCATGCTGTTATCATAAAACACAGTTATATTATATAATGCTTTTCATAATGCAATGCAGTAAATCAATGAACGAAAGTTGATTACCTTACAGCTTCTATAGTATATAATTGCTTATATAAAAAGCTTTATAAAGCACTTCCTACAAGTCAAATTCCATAGCAAAGAACAGTCCTTCGCAGTCATTAGTCTTCATCGTTATTCTGTTTATCCTTTTATACCCCCATATGTAACACATATAAAATTTCTGCTGGGGGATAAAATTCAAACAGCTTATTTGATGTTTTAACAATGTAGGAGGTAGGATAAATTATATGCTGGCTACGCTATTCGGAGACAAAGGGAGCGGGGAAGACATATTGGCACATTGACTTCATGGCGAAGGCTAACTTTACTTTCCACAGACCTGTTCTGAATTTTTTCCCACTAGATCCCACTAACCATGCCACAATGGTATATGTAGGGCAGTGGTGAAATCTGAACCGGTTTAGTACTGGTTTGCTGGCTGCAAATGCGCAGTGCGCACTATGCACCAAATGTGAGGCGTGGACATGCAGTGCACGCCAAAAGGAGGCATGTGGAAAGTAGAACAGCATGCGATGGGGGGTTATCAGCTGTGGCACGCAATCCAGGGGTGAAATGCTCCCGGTTCGGACCGGATCGCCTGATCCGGTAGCAATGGCGGCGTGTGGTTCAGAGAACCGGTAGCAAAAATCTCTGCTCCCACCCCCATGTCCAGCTGAGCCGCACGATCATCAGAGGCTTTTTTTTTTTTACTTTTAAAAACATTTTTTCTACAACCTCTTCCGACAAAAAAATGCTTTGAAAGTAAAAAAAAAAAAAGTCTCTGATGATCGCGCGGCTCAGCTGGGATCATCAGAGGCTTTTCAAAGCATATTTTTCTGCAACCTCTTGTCCAAAGAAGTGGTTTAAAAAATGCTTTGAAAAGTCTCTGACGATCCCAGCTGAGTTGCCTGATAGGCAGAGGCTTTTCAAAGCATTAGAAAAAGTGCTTTGAAAAGTTTAAAAAAAAAAGTTGGCCACGCCCACCCAGTCACATTACTTCCCCCACCAAGCTACGCCCACAGAACCGGTAGTAACAAATTTTACATTTCACCCCTGGCGCAATCTTTTTTTTACTTTTAAAAGCATTGTTTTTAAAAGTAAAAAAAAAAAGGCTCTGACGATCGTGCTACTCAGCTGGGATCGTCAGAGGCTTTTTTTTAATCTTTTAAAAGCATTTTTTCTACAACCTCTTCGGCTGTAGAAATATGCTTTTAAAAGTAAAAAAAAAAAAGCCCCTGAGGGTCGCGCAGTTCAGCCGGGGAAGGGGGGGGGGGAAGAGGGATTTTTGCTACCGGTTCTCCAAACCACCCGCTGCCATCGCTACCGGATCGGGTGATCCGGTCCGAACGGGAAGCATTTCACCCCTGATGTAGGGGTTCATTTTTGTGTGTATTCATATCCATTCAAACAGATACATGCTATAGAGCAGGGATATCAAACTTGATTTCATTGAGGGCTGCATCAGGGTTGTGTTTGACCTCGGGGTGGGGGGTGGGGGGTGGAGGCATCGTGCGTGGCCAGGGGGCTCACTGATGTAACTCATCGTGGCCCTGTTTTTGGCTGCGACGGCCTCCTGCAGCCCTCTGCCAGCAAAAATGGAGCTTGGGGGGGAACCACACGCAGCCCGCCTGGGCTCCATTTTCACTGGCAGAGGCATCGCGGGCCAGTCCTTTACTGTTTCCAGAGCGGGCCAGATGTAAGCACCCCGCGGGTCAAATCTGGCCCACGGGACTGGCATTTGCATCCCTTCTATAGAGGAACATCCCAAAGCATACATTTTTTTTTTGCAGATATGATTTTAGGCACTGTTAAGAAGAAAAAACAAAGAGCAATGTTAAGAAAATGAATCAAAATATCTAATTGCCCTCAGAGATGTCTGCATAAAATGACGTACAGTAATGAAGTTCTTACCATATCTGCCTGCTGATATTTAACTTCGGGGCTGATCCATTCGTTGCTGATCCGTTTACGATAAGCATTGCACTTTGGAATATATGAACAGCCAACATCTCCCAATTCTGGGTAGTAAACTTCTAGACTCCCTCTGTCAGAAACCAACCCTAAAAGTCAATTTCTAGGAACATGTCAATGTCTTACAGCAAAAATATTATAAGTTTTGGAAACTTAAGCCTTTTTTTTAGGATATTTATCATTATGGTTTTTATATCTGCAATCGCTGTTTTTATATTTTCTTTTTTATTTATTGTTATATGCACTGCCCAGACTTACCTTCAGTGAGAGGGGCAACTATATACATTTGATTAATAATTAAATTAAACTGATTTTTATTTTTATTTTTTATTTTTTTTAGAAAAGAGGAAAATTTCCAGAAAACATTGGGTAATAGAAGCAGCGAGCCAGTTTGGTACACTGGTGTAGGCACCATGCTAGAAACTGGGAAAATATGAGTTCTAATCAGTGGTGAAATCCAATTTTTTTTTTACTACCGGTTCTGTGGGCGTGGCTTGGTGGGCATGGCAGGGGAAGGATACTGCAAAAGCTCCATTCCCTCCCCACTCCTGGGGGAAGGATATTGCAAAATCTCCATTTCCACCCCACTCTGGGGCCAGCCAGAGGTGGCGGTATGCCGGTTCTCCGAACTGCTCAAAATTTCCGCTACCGGTTCTCTGAACTGCTCAAAATTTCCACTACCAGTTCTCTGAACTGCTCACCGGCCTCTTCATCCCAGACTCTTTGACACGACCCATTCGCAGAAAGAGGGTTCGTCCTGGGTGTTCCGCCTTCTGTGACTTACGCCCTAGCATAGAATTTAGTGAGACTTACTTCCGAGTAAACCAACTGTTCCTCCCTGTATTGGTGGGTGTGGGGGAGAGAGAGGAAGGAAGGCAGGCAGGCATTTTGGCAAATTATTTTACACCTCTCTCCTTTCATTGGATTTAAATCCTAGCATTGAATTTAGTGAGACTTACTTCCGAGTAAACCAACTGTTCTTCCCTGTATTGGGGGGTGGGGGGCAAGAGTCTGGTTTAGCTCAACAGACAGAAGCACTGTAATTTAACACCAGCTGTCTGCAATTAAAGTAAGATCGAATCTCGCCAGGCTCAAGGTTGACTCAGCCTTCCATCCTTTCTAAGGTAGGTAAATTGAGGACCCAGTTTGTGGGGGCAATAAGCTGACTTTGTATAAATATACGAAAGGATGAAGTCTATTGCTTAACGCATTGTAAGCCGCCCTGAGTCTTCGGAGAAGGGCGGCATATAAATCAAATTTTTTAAAAAAAAGAGAGAGAGAAAGGAAGGAAGGAAGGCATTTTGGCAAATTCTTTTACACATCTCTCCTTTGGCTGGATTTCTATTACACCCCCTCTGGCCAATTGGTTGGGGACTAACTGTCACAGAACACCCAAGACGAACCCTCTTCCTGCGAAAGGGCCATGTCGAAGAGTCTGGGATGAAGAGGCCGGTGGCCCATGCCCCAAGGCAAATGACTGGAGGCGTGCCAGCTGAGGAGATAAGTCGGGGAGAGAATTGCCCGAGGAGAAACGCCCGAGGAGAATGAAAAGCCCCACAGTTTTAACGTAGAGAGTAAATGTATGCAACTTCTTCTATCCAGTATTATCACTGGATAAATGCTTGTCTGTCAGAAATACACTATTAATACCATGTAATAGAATAAATATTTTAACAGAATATTGCCAAATGAGTTGAGTTATCTCTAGGAAGTTAATTTACTGATGTGTTGTGGTCCACCAGCAGCCTGAGGAGCTGGCAGTGGGGTCAGACAGCGACATGGGCCAGCCCTGGAGGCTGGGCAAGGCCCGGATGAGGGCTCTGCATTGGAGGCAGAGATGGGGCCAGGGCCATTGGGGAGTGATGTGCGGACTCTGGAGCCTCCAGAGGCTGACAGCAGAGAGGCAGAGGAACAGGAGGAGCCTGTTCCTAGTGCATGCATGAGAAGAGCTGCCAGAAAGCAAGAGCAGCTCAAGCAAAAAGGACGACTCGGGAGTAGGGCCAAGAGATGATTGGCCCCTCCCGTAAGGCTTAAAAGATCAGCAATGGCTCTTGAGCTCTTTGTCGGAAAACAACGTTGAGAGATTTGCTTCTTGTCTTGCTACATTTATTTCTTGTCGGCATCTTCTGCTTCTGAACTTTTGCCAAGAAAAGCCTTTGGCAGGCTGCCTAATTAGACCAAGGTTGGTGATAAGGCTGAAGAATTGTGTTATGAAGAATTCGTTTTAATTTAGTTTGGACTACGCTGAGAATGAGTTAATTCTCAGCTGTTCTAATAAAGTCTGTTTGTTTTCAAACTGATTGCGTCTGATAATACGTACTTGGGCCTGGGTTACAACATGATGACTCTTATTCAGAAAATGATGTATAAAATATTTGCTTTATGGCTGTCATGGTCATGATGAATGAAAATTGGTATAAGATGCCTACGCTTATAAAGGAATCTGAGCTTACCTACAAAATGTTCTGTCCTCTCTGTCCAGTTTTCTAAAGATGCATTCTTCCACTCTGACACTGTCTTGTAGGACAATTAAAAGAAAAGAAACTGCCAGAAAATGGGGAACCAGAGGCTTCATCGTGTCCTGCCAAAAACAAAATAGTGAAAAGTTAACAGATTCCACCAGGAGTGGGCTTCAAAAATTTTAGCAAGGGGTTCTCTGCCCGGTTGCTGGGTAGGCGTGGCCATAGTGGGTGTGGCCTAGTTGGCCTCCTGCACCACGGAGGAGGGGGCGTTTTTGCTTTTCTTGAGCCTCCGGGAGGGTGAAAACAGCCTCCCCAGGCTCCGGAGGCCCTCCGAGGGCCCGTTTCTGGCCTTCCTGAACTTCCGGAAGGCGCGTTTTTTGCCCTCCCCAATCCTCTGGGTGCACTCTGCACTTACCTGCATCCAAAACAGGCCGTGTGGGGACTCCTGGGAGGGGAGGGGCAGGGTGGGAGGGGCGGGGCCAGCCAAGACTGGGATTTGGGGGTTCTCCGAACTGCACAGAATCTTAGCTCGAGGTTCTCCCAAACCCCTGCGAACCCCCAGCAACCCACCCCTGGATTCCACCAGACACAACTGTATTGCAAACCTGCCTATATTTTTGCAAATCATTTTAAGCAATTATTTCCAAATTCTATTGCCAACAGCACTTTAAGTGTATCAGATCCATGAAAGCTAAATTTTACAGTAAACCGATCTAATCATTAACATGTATTTTATGTTTTGTATTCTGAGCTGGCCTAATGGCTACTCAGTAACATGTTATTAATAGAATAAATTAAATGCTTTTATACTCTAGGTTTCCCTCAATTTGAGCTCATCAGAGGGAGACAAAACAGCTTAGTTTGAAGTGAATGCGGGCTGTTCTTTCTAATTCAGTAAATATAGAACAATCTCATAAAATGCCCTCGGAATAGCAAAGAGCTGCCCATGTAGGACTAGATTAAAAAGGGGGACTGCCATCTTGACTTTTTTGACCTCTTCCCTTCTTGTAGACATCCCTATAACTGCCTTTGAATACAGGACTGGGTGCGAGGTAGACAAACAAGAATAAATAATTCAGACGTCCAGCATTCATTCGTTTGTTTGTGTTTTTTTTTTTAACCCTGCTTGTATTACTTTATAAGTAACTCAATGTGGCAAATATACCTAATACTCCTTCCTTCTCCTATTTTCCCCAAAGCAACAATTATGTGAGGCAAGTTGGAAGAGAATGCCTGGTTCACCCAGACGGCTTTCATGGCTAGGGCAGGACTAGAACTCACAGCCTCCTGGTTTCATCTTAACCGCTACACTACCCCAAGCTAATTATATAAATATATAGTGTGTCAGAGTTTGTTGCAAAAAACAAATCCAGAAGCACACACAGATAAACTGATTCAGCAGGATTCATTAACTTCTTTATATACAAGTATATATATATACTTACATATACTTATATGTATACTCTCTCTCTCTCATGCGTTCAGTAACAACCACAACGCTTTGCAATTCGACACCCACCATAAAAAGCTTTCAAAAACTCAACTCGGGCACTTCGTGTCCCCAAGTTTTAAAGGCCAACGGTGTGCATTGGAGGGTTAAATATGGGGGCATTTCAAAGGCTGGAATGTTTTGTTCTCCCTTCACAAGAGAAACATTTTACTCAGAATAATTTTCCGGGAGATAATTTCATTTCAGTGGAGATCAGCTTGAAAGAAAGGAAGATTGGCTGCTCTGCTCAAAATGGCGGCAAACACATCTTTCCCCTCCATTTTTCCCCTCAGAATTCTTCCCGCTTCTTCCTTCGCCTCATCCCAGAGGGTCTTCTTCTCGCTCAGCAGCATCCACAGGTGTGGTTGAGGGGGGAAAAAAAAATCAAGATAGCAATCAAAGGACCACCTGGTTTGACGTGCTGCCATCTTGATTTTGTTTGACCCACCCCTGCAGCAAACCAATTAATAAATAAATATTTGTTTTGGAAAGCGTAGGATATTTATTTTATTAAATTTTGTTTCCCAACCATCTCGCTACAAGTCAATTGTTCCAATATCTCAGGGGCTGCCCCAAAGAAGAGGGAGTCAAGCTATTCTCCAAAGCCCCTGAGGGCAGGACAAGAAGCAATGGGTGGAAACTAATCAAGGAGAGAAGCAACCTAGAACTGAGGAGAAATTTCCTGACAGAACAATTAATCAGCGGAACAACTTGCCTCCAGAAGTTGTGAATGCTCCAATACTGGAAGTTTTTAAGAAGATGTTGGACAACCATTTGTCTGAAGTGGTGTAGGGTTTCCTGCCTAAGCAGGGGGTTGGACTAGACGACCTCCAAGGTCCCTTCCAACTCTATTATTCTATTCTAAATTCTGGTGATATCATGTTTCAAAAATCTCAGCCAAATATAACAGTCATGGGAATTTGAAGGGGGGGGAGCTGTATCCTTCAAATCGAGATAATGAAAAGAAGAAATAGAATAGAATAGAATAGAATAGAATAGAATAGAATAGAATAGAATAGAATAGAATAGAATAGAATAGAATAGAATAATAAATATGGAATGGAATGGAATGGAATGGAATGGAATGGAATGGAATGGAATAGAATAGAATAGAATAGAATAGAATAGAATAGAATAGAATAGAATAGAATAGAATAGAATAGAATAGAATAATAAATATGGAATGGAATGGAATGGAATGGAATGGAATGGAATAGAATAGAATAGAATAGAATAGAATAGAATAGAACAGAATAATAAATATGGAATGGAATGGAATAGAATAGAATAGAATAGAATAGAATAGAATAGAATAGAATAGAATAATAAATATGGAATGGAATGGAATGGAATAGAATAGAATAGAATAGAATTTTTTATTGGCCAAGTGTGATTGGACACTCAAGGAATTTCCCTTGGTGCATACGCTCTCAGTGAACATAAAAGAAAAGAAAGCTAATAAAATAATACAATATCTGATATAATAAAAATAATAAAAACATAAATAATAATTTTAAAAAATAAAAGTAATGAAAAGAAGGACTAGGGGTGACGTGATAGCACTGTTCCAATATTTGAGGGGCTTTTACAAAGACGTAGGGGGGGGGTTGTCAAACTATTCTCCAAAGCCCCTGAAGGCAGGACAAGAAGCAATGGGTGGAAATTAATCAAGGAGAGAAGCAACTTAGAACTAAGGAGAAATTTCCTAACGGTGAGAACAATTAACCAGGTTAATGCCTTGCCTTCAGAAGTTTTTTTTTTTTGAAAAGTTTTTTTTTAATTTTTTAAAACATAAAATACATCTTTTTAGAGCAAGGATTTGATCCGGTATAAAGTAAATACAATTACTCCCATTCCCTCAACCAATTTTGTTCCAAATTTTATCCATTTAAAAAAAGAAAAGAAAAACAAATCTTATTCTAAACATTTAGATTTTAGACATTCTACTATATCACCCTACATTCTAAACAATTATTTCCAAATAGACATCATTCCAAATCTTTGTCATTTTAACAATCAATATTTCATATATATTCCTCATTTCTAAGACCCATTACATCGAGTCTATATTGTATCTCTTTTTAAATGGCAACTTGTATCCATAATCTTGACAAAAAACATTTTCCTCCTCTCTTAATTGTTTCTAAACCAATCAACATTTCCATCCAAAATTCCCTTCTGAAGGGATGCCTTGCCTTCAGAAGTTGTGGGTGGCTCTATCACTGGAGGCTTTCAAAAAGAGATTGGATAACCATTTGTCTGAAGTAGAGGGTTGGACTAGAAGACCTCCAGGGTCCCTTCCAACTCTATTATTCTATGTTCTATGTTCTTACTGCTAACTAACTGACATATTGGCAGCAATTCTTAATTCTTAGAAAACCAAATTAGTCTAGTCTAGCGCTTTAGGCACTAGCCTAAGAAAGTGGGAGGTCGCGAGTTCAAGTCTTGCCTTACCCACAAAAGCCCAACTGTGGGTGACTTTATGCCGGTCACTCTCTTTCAACCCAACCCACCTCACAAGGTGGTGGTTTGTTATGGGGGAAAAAGGAGGACGGTGTGTTGGATGTTCGCCCCCTTGAATTATTTGTAAAAAAAAATAATAAAGATGGGGATATAAATAAATTAGCTCATGAATAAATCTATCAATTGTTTGAGTCATGCACCGAGAAAGTGGGTTCTGGATAAAAAGTGCACCGGACTGGATGATTAGAATAGCCTCTTGGGGAGACAAGCAGCATATAAATTTAATAAATAAATAAGATTACTGACCCTGCCTCATTTTACGCTCACTTGAATGCACCTGTGTCAGAGTTTCTTGCAAAAAAACAAACCCAGAAGCACACACAGATAACTGAATTCACCTGGATTCGTTAACTTCTTTATATTCATAATAACCCATAAAGTATTTACAATACCAAGAGTTGATTCTTCACAGTTTCACTTCAGCTCAGATTAGCAGATAAATTCACACACACACACACACACAGAGCTTCACAGCTCAGAGTTTAACACACACTAGTTTCAGTTTCAATTCTCTGCACAGGCTCAGTTCTGTCTCAGCTCCCATTGGCTGACCTAGTTGCTATGCCTGTTCATTGGCTGACCTTGTTACCATGGCTTCCCAGTCATGAATATTCTGACCATCTGGAACATTCTTCCACCTGGCCCCATCATAACAATAGCACTTAGACTTATATACCACTTCCCACTGCTTTTACAGCCCTCTCTGTAAAGAGGGAGGATGGAAGGCTGAGTCAACCTTGAGCCAGTCAGGATCGAACTGCTGGCAGCCGGCAGAGGGAAGGAAGGAAGGAAGGAAGGAAGGAAGGAAGGAAGGAAGGAAGGAAGGAAGGAAGGAGGGAGGGAGGGAGGGAGGGAGGGAGGGAGGGAGAGAGGAAGGAAGGAAGGAAGGAAGGAAGGAGGGAGGGAGGGAGGGAGGGAGAGAGAGAGGAAGGAAGGAAGGAAGGAAGGAAGGAAGGAAGGAAGGAAGGAAGGAAGGAAGGAAGGAAGGAATATTCTGACCATCTGGAACCTTCTTCCACCTGGCCCCATTATAACAATAGCACTTAGATTTATATACCACTTCCCACTGCTTTTACAGCCCTCTCTGAAAAGAGGGAGGATGGGAGGCTGAGTCAACCTTGAGCCAGTCAGGATCGAACTGCTGGCAGCCGGCAGAGGGAGGGAAGGAAGGAAGGAAGGAAGGAAGGAAGGAAGGAAGGAAGGAGGAAGGAGGAAGGAGGAGGGAGGAGAGGAGGGAGGAGAGAGAGAGGGAGGGAGGGAGGGAGAGAGAGAGGGAGGAAGGAAGGAAGGAAGGAAGGAAGGAAGGAAGGAAGGAAGGAAGGAAGGAAGGAAGGAAGGAATATTCTGACCATCTGGAACATTCTTCCACCTGGCCCCATTATAACAATAACACTTAGATTTATATACCACTTCCCACTGCTTTTACAGCCCTCTCTGTAAAGAGGGAGGATGGAAGGCTGAGTCAGCTTTGAGCCAGTCAGGATCGAACTGCTGGCAGTGGGCAGAGGGAAGGAAGGAAGGAAGGAAGGAGGGAGGGAGGGAGGGAGGGAGGGAAGGAAGGAAGGAAGGAAGGAAGGAAGGAAGGAAGGAAGGAAGGAAGGAAGGAAGGAAGGGACAATAGCAATAGCCCTTAGATTTATATACCGCTTCCCAGTGCTTTTACAGCCCTCTCTGAGCGGTTCACAGAGCCAGCATATACCACATTATGCCAAATTGATACAATTTCGTTGCATATATGATGTACAATGACAATAAAGGCTAAAGCAGGGGTCAGCAACCTGCAGCTCTGGAGCCGCATGTGGCTCTTTCACCCCTCTGCTGCGGCTCCCTGTCACTCAAAATATGTGTCACAACAGCCAATGTGTGAAACCCGCCGGCACACAATTTTTTGAGCTTTTCAACCCCCGGTAGGCCAACCGTGGATAAATCCAAGAAAAGAAAAGTTTCAGAACATTTAATTCGACTACATATGCTAGTTTTGTGGCCGCTCAAGAAATAGTCAGGCACGGGAAGGGTTTTGTGGCTCCCGGTGTTTTCTTTTCTGTGGGAAATGGGTCCAAATGGCTCTTTGAGTGTTTAAGGTTGCAGACCCCTGGGCTATACTAAAACAGGCTCCAATAAATCGGTAGAACTTTTTTTTTCCCTCCAGCAGCAGGGATTTATTATACCTTCTTTTTCCTGATGGGCTTGGAAAAACTGCACACCTAAACCTCCGTTCACTACAACCTACTAAAGGCAAATGGACTTGATTTCAGAATAAAGTTATTAAAAGGCAGCGCTAGCGTGGGAAAAGGTCCCAGTTCTGCTCAAGAGCCTCCGTTTACCTACTTGCGAAGAAGAGTCAAGGACAAAATCCAAAATCCGGGGCAAGTTTTCCGCTACGAGCCAGCCAAGAATGCCCCACAGCTACGTGGCTGCACCTAAATTAAGCCCATCGGTGCGTAAAGTCACCTGGCGGACAGGTGCAAAGGAGAGGCGGGGGAAATCAAAGGCAAGGAGGGGGCTGATTGGGCCTCGCAATTCCTCCCCGTCCCTCAGGGTTGGCCGTTGGCCAGAGGTTCTGATCTTTTCCTCCGGCCCCCGCTTGACCGGCAGCTGGACATGGAGGGCTGGTTGATGCTGAAGTGAGCCTTTAGTTTTAGGCACTGCAGTTCCCGCTTGCAGCTGGAAAACGATGGAATTTAAGAAAAGTGTTAGAATGGGAAAAAAAGGGCGATCATCCCCATTAGATGCCGGTCAGGGGGACGGTTAACCAGGTTTTAGCCGGGTTTTGGGTGTAAGGCAGCCATCGTGGCTAGACGTCGTAGCTAATTGCACTTTTTATTTTTATTAAATTTCTTAACACCGCCCATCTCATTTAAGTGACTCTGGGCAGCTTACAACACCAGATCTACTCTTGCTGTTTTCAATCTAAATTTAACTCGGATTCAAAAAGAGTCATCTATTTAATGAATAACCATCTGATAGTGATGAAAAAAAAAAAAATAAGCAAAGTGTACTGAAATCCCTCAAGCGGATAATTTAAGCAGCTTCCATGAAATTGTTTTCTGTTTCCGCTATATACTGTTTCCGCGATATATTACAGGGCAGGGGTCACCAACCTTTTGGACCTCAGGGATAAATTCATAATTTTACATCCCGCGGACCACTAATATGATCTTCCTAATGACCGGCGGGGTGGGCGTGGCTAGGCGGTCATGTGATTGGGTGGGCGTGACCAACTCGATGTCATTCATATCAAGGGGTGCCTTGCCAGCCTCTATTTGCCCCTCCCCTCCCAGCCACTCCTCCCCTGCCTGCCCGGACTCTTTAGGGCCCCAACAGGAAGCAGTTGTTGGAGCTAAGCAGCCACCATGAGAAAGAGTTGACAAAACAGCTCAGTTCAAATTGGATCTGATCAAGGAGGAGGCTCAGCAGAAGCACCTCACTGAGGACTAGGAGCATAGGCTTTCCAAACAGAGGGAAGACCTGCAGGAGTGCAAGGCCAGGTACCGGCGCCTGGAGGCTCAGCGGGCTGAGATGGTCAGCCAGTTCCAGGCCATGATGTGGTCCCACTGGAACAAAGCCCTCCAGCTCTTCGCCACCAGCGGCGCTTCCCTCCAGCCTTCGGCCAAAGCCCCACACCAGGAGGCCGAAGCAGACCCCAAGTCGGATTTCTGCCCCCCTCCGACCTGCACAAAATGACCCCAAAGGGGGAAGACTCTCTGCAGCAACACAAACGTTCATTGCACATATCTGGCCCAGGGGTCGTAGATTGATGATTTAGTGCAATATAAAAAATGCAAATAATTTTTCTGGCGACCACAAAAATTTTCTCACGGACCACCAGTTGGTGACCACTGCAATAGGGCACAAGGACCTATATTTCAAAGGCCTGGAAGTACAGAGAGGTAATTAAGAAATCCAATAGTTATTTCTAAGACAATCTGTCCAAAAATAGCGGTGTTTTATTCAGATTTCTATAGCCGTATTTTTACCATTGAGGCTGCAATACTTCTGGGAACCATCAGAGGGCAGTATCTCCCAGATATTCAGTATTTTGCACTATTTTCTTAACTGAGAACCTGATACTTTGACCAGCAGTATAAATATATTGGCCCCGAAGAGGTAGTATAACCTATCAGTAATAATATATGGTCCTGATTTCCCTAAAAAAAAAAAATCTGATTTAATGCAGTGGTTAAAGCACCAAGTTAGAAATCAGAAGATTGTGAGCTCAGTTTTGGAAGGACAAGTTCAGAAGTCAACAAAAACTCAAAAAGCATTTCCCTCCCCCCAAAATCCACAGAACATCTGAGCCACAGAAGGGCAAGATGTCCTATAGATCGGTAGTCACCAACTGGTGGTCCGTGAACCACTGATAGTCCGTGAGAAATTTTGGTGGTCCGCAGAAAAATTATTTGCATTTTTTACATTGCACTAAATTAGGGGTCCTCAAATTACAGCCCCTGGTCCAGATACGTGCAATGAACGTTTGTGTTGCTGCAGAGAGTCTCCCCCTTCAAGGTCTTTTTGTGCGGGTCACAGGAGGGCAGAAATTCTGACTTGGATGATTTTTCTGCCTATAAACAGGACTCGCTTTACCTGTTTTCTTGGCTGGAAATAATGGCTGGCTTTTGCAGGATTCCGGTATGTTTATTATACTCTTAATCCTTAGACCCTTGGACTGGCTAAGAACTTTGACCAGGGGGATGGTACCATTTGTAGATTCAAATACATTCCTATTTTTCTGAGTCACATCTAAACGCGAAAGACAGCCACCTTGTCCAGAAAAGGAAACTTCGGCATGTTAAAACCTCTTGAATGGATGCCCCGCTCGGTTCATCCATGTGCTTCTTACAGCTGCTTTCCTCAGCCTGGTGCCTAAAAGGTAAAGGTTCCCCTTGCATATAAGTGTGAGTTGTTCCCGACTCTAGGGGGCGGTGCTCCTCTCCGTTTCAAAGCTGAAGAGCCAGCGCTGTCCGAAGACGTCTCCGTGGTCATGTGGCCGGCATGACTCAATGCGAAAGGTGCACAGAACGCTGTTACCTTCCCACCAAAGGTGGTCCCTATTTTTCTACTTGCATTTTTTTTACGTGCTTTCGAACTGCTAGGTTGGCAGAAGCTGGGACAAGGAACGGGAGCTCACCCCATTATGCGGCACTACGGATTCGAACCGCTGAACTGCCGACCTTTCGATTGACAAGCTCAGCGTTTTAGAATTATTTCCCCCCCCCCCCCCCCCCACCTCCCAATGAACATTTTAGCAACCCCATCATCCCCTGACCCGCCTCCCTCTCGCACATTCTCCGGGTACAACGCAATAGACTAGTGGAAGGCGGGGGAAATTGCAGCCTGACCTAACTGCCAAGAGATTGGGGGACTGTAGCGTGTGATACAGTTTTGCACAACCTAGCATCCACCTGCAGTTTGATCAGCAAGATCCCTAATGTTTATTGCAGATTTTTCTTTTAAGTGCTGCAATGAAAGCACTAAAAATACATCTTTTGAGGACCTACAGGGTGTTGTGGCCCGTACGTGGCCTGTGCGGATTGTAGCTGATTCTGACAGTGAGGAGGCTGTTGTGGTGTCGCGCCAGCAGCCTGTGCAGCCGGTGCTCGAGTCGGACAGTGAGGAGGCTGGAGAAGATGTGGTGCCAGAGGCGGGGATTCAGCCAGGGCCTTCAGAACCTCCAGAAGCTCCCATAAGTGAAGAGGACGAAGAGGAGGAGCCTCTTCTCGATGCACGGGCACGCAGAACTGCCAAAAGGCAGAAGTGGCTCCTCAGGAGGAGGTCTCCTCGAGAGTAAGGCTTGGGGCTAATTGGCCACTCCCTTAACCTATTTAAGGAGGAATGCCGATTGAAGCAAGCTTTAGGGAACAACTTTAGTTCACTCTCCTTCACGTCCTGATCTTAGTTCTCTTATCAGTGTCCTGCAAATTGCTTCTGGGCTTTCTGCCAACCATAGTAAGATTACGATTATTTATTCTTTGGAATCTTGTAGGCTGTTAAGAAAGTTAATTAACAGCCTTTATTTGAAAAAGACTGATTTAATTTAGTAAACTAAATTGTGCAGACTTTGTGTGTGCTGCGTTCTTTGGGGTCCGTACCTGGCCAGAATACAGGGTGAGACACGCCTCTTTCCCTCAACCCTCCTTCCCCCAAATTAAAAAAACTCGAGACCAGCTACTCCAGTGACCTTCCTGCCATGCCCTGCAGCTCTGGGTGATTGGGGAGAAAAAAATGTTCTCGTAGATTAAAAAAAAAGTTAGCCACTCTTTGCTATACCATTTCATATTTCCATTCCATGGCTTGAATCTGGCCCTTATAGAACAGGCCTACTGCCACCTGCTGGACAGGTAATGATATGTCCTTAAATTGCTGAGCTGGACCACTCTACTTTCCAAATCTTTTCTCCACCAGGGATGGAGTTGCACAGCATTGTTTCAGCAGCACAAACAGCCGTTCGGGCATCCGATACTGGAATCAAACCAGTTGAATTAAATTCCCAAAGTTAGGCACATCGTCAAGCACTGTGCTCCCCAGGCACGCAGGTCAGTCTTAGGATTGGTAACTTGGCAAAAAAATGGCGTCTGTAAATCCATCTGGTCTAAATGAGCTGAACTGCACCAGAGGCCACCAAGGGAGCAATTGTCTTGTAGCGGATCAAATGTTGGGAGTTTTCATCCAGATCGATCACGTACTCTCTGAAAGAGATAGAAGGACAATAAAAATAGACCGTTCTCGTAATGCTATACACACTTATTTGTTAGACTTTTTTCTCAGCTTTTTTTTGCAGGAGTTCAGTTTCTACCGTGTTTTCCCGAAAATGTATTTATTATTAGTTCAATTTATATGCCACCCTTCTCCGTAGACTCAGGGCGGCTTACAATGCATTATAGCAATAGCCTGCATACTTTTATGTATATACCTGCTTATTAGGGTTTTCGGGTCCCCTTAAGCGGTGTTATTCTATACAAAGCTGGTTTATTGCCCCCACAATCTGGGTCCTCAATTTACCTATCTCGAAAGGATGGAAGGCTGAGTCAACCTTGAGCCTGGTGAGATTTGAACTCGCAACTGCTTAGCTGCAGCTGGCAGCTAAGTGCTAGCACTTAACAGCACTTAGTCCGCTGCACCACCGAGGCTCTAAAAGAAAATGTCTTTTTTTTTTTAAACCCTGAAATAAGTGCTTGGTCTTATTGCCATGCTCTCAAAAGCCCGATTGGGCTTATTATCAGGGGATGTCTTATTTTGGGGGAAACAGGGTATAAATAATAAAGAACGTTCTTTCTTTCCATTCTTTCTTCATGCTACAATAGCAGGAAGTATCAAACTCAAGGCCCGGGACCCCAGATCTGGCCTGCTGGGCCACCCTGGAAACAGCAAAGGACTAGGCCGCAGTGCCTCTGCCAGTGAAAATGGAGCGCGTGGCCCTCCCTGAGCTCCATTTTCATTGGCAGAGGTTGCAGGAGGCCGTCACAGCAGAAAACGGAGCTCGAGAGCCTGTTTTTGCTGGCAGAAGGTTGCAGGAGGCCGTCACAGCAGAAAACGGAGCTCGGGAGCCTGTTTTTGCTGGCAGAAGGTTGCAGGAGGCCGTCACAGCAGAAAACGGAGCTCGAGAGCCTGTTTTTGCTGGCAGAAGGTTGCAGGAGGCCGTCACAGCAGAAAACGGAGCTCGGGAGCCTGTTTTTGCTGACAGAGGGTTGCAAGAGGCTGTCACAGCAGAAAATGGAACTCGAGAGCCTGTTTTTGCTGGCAGAAGGTTGCAGGAGGCCGTCACAACAGAAAACGGAGCTCGGGAGCCTGTTTTTGCTGGCAGAGGGTTGCAGGAGGCGTCACAGCAGAAAACGGAGCTCGGGAGCCTGTTTTTGCTGGCAGAGCACTCGGGCCACCAGAGGCGCCCCTGACACGAGTGACGTCGAACTGGTCACGCCCATCCCATGCCCCTCCCTCCCAAATTCAAACACAACCCTGATGTGGCCCTCAATGAAATCGACTTTGACACCCCTACCCTATAGGGTTGATATATGTTTGTATGTAACAACAATTACCTCCCTGGGATCTTTTTGGGGTTAAATGAAACGTTCCCACATAAGCCTATCTAAACTCCTGGAGAAAAAGCGAGTATAAGTTTTAACACACACAAAATTAATTGAGGGTTTCCATTTTTCCTCCTTTTTTTTTTTAAATGCAGAGAAGCCTTTTGGAAGGGAGCCCTTTTCAAGGGCAGAGCTCTAGAAGAAAAGCTCGAGGGTATAAATTTAGCTTTAATGGGATTCGGATGCAATTAAATCCCGTGCTATTGTAACAGGAGGCGAGCCTTCTCTGCCTCGGTACCTGCCCTTTGAAAGGTCATCTCCCCACCCCAAGTAAGATTGCCCTCAACTCTTATCGATCTGCCAGGAAAACCCATAAAATATAGTTCTGTCTCCAAGCTCGGGCATCCCATGAAAATAAGCCCCCCCCCCCCCAATGGCGAGACTGTAAGTAGGATTTTGAATTAAGTCTATTTGTTTAGTTTTAACTTATTTTATTAAGAGCCAAGGGAGGCGCAGTGGTTAGAGTGCAGTACTGCAGGCTCCTTCTGCCGACTGCCGGTTGCCTGCAGTTTGGCAGTTCGATTCTCACTGGTTCAAGGTTGACTCAGCCTTCTATCCTTCCGAGGTGGGTAAAATGAGGACCCAGATTGATGCGGGAAAGATGCTGACTCTGTAAACCGCTTAGAGAGGGCTGCGTAAAACACCGTGAAGCGGTATATAAGTCTAAGTGCTATTGCTATTTTAGTGATTTTTAATAGGCCTGTTTTAATCTTATTTGAATTGTGTGTGCTACTCAGAGTCACACACATGAGTAGCGACTACATTAAATTTAATAAAATGAAAATAATAATTTAACGAGTTTATCCCACTCCTTTCCACATCCTTAATAATCTCCCTCTCTTATTAAAAGCAGAAGGGAGGATATCTTGCAGAAATTCCAGGTGCCCAGGCTAGTAAAAATTTTGGGAGAGGTTTTTCATGGATCAAGGTTGAGTCAGATCTCTCCTCTGGCTGATTGAACTTTTGCAAACAGCAAGTCTGAATCCACCTGCACCAAACATAACGTATTTTTCGGCGTATAAGATGCACTCCCCCCCGCCAAAAGAGGGTGAAAATTTGGGTGCGTCTTATACACCGAATGTAGCCCCACCCATCCGCTGGCCCCTACCCTTTGGCCTCTGCCTCCCAGCAATTTCCCTCCTTGCAGCAAGCAGCAAACAGTCCGTTTCACCTTCAGCACAGCCTGATTAGCGCAAGAAAAAAAATCTGCCTCCCAGCAATTTACCTCCTTGCAGCAAGCAGCAAACAGTCCGTTTCAGCTTCAGCACAGCCTGATTAGCACAAGAAAAAAAAAATCTGCTCCCAGCAATTTACCTCCTTGCAGCAAGCAGCAAACAGTCCGTTTCACCTTCAGCGCAGCCTGATTAGCACAAGAAAAAAAAATCTGCCTCCCAGCAATTTACCTCCTTGCAGCAAGCAGCAACAGCCCCATTTCAGCTTCAGCACAGCCTGATTAGCACAAGCAGTTGATTGTCGGTTGGATTGGCCACCCGACCCTCAGCTGTTCCGGGTTGCAGGGATTGCCATTGCCTATTGCCGGGCAGGCCTCCGCTGCTTGCTGCAAAGAGGCAAATTGCTGGGAGGCAGATTTTTTTTTTTCTTGCGCTAATCAGGCTGTGCTGAAAATGAAACTAAAGCAGGCTGTTTGCTGTGACGAGGCAAATTGCTGGGAGGCAGAGGCAGATTTCTTTTTCTTGTTTTCCTCCCCCCAAAAAGGCAGGTGCGTCTTATACTCCGGAGCGCCTTATATTCAGAAAAATACGGTAATAATGAAAGACTGAGATCCCTTCTTTATATTTGCCTTCATTCGTGAGATCCCTTTGCTTGAATTTGCACTGGAAGATCTGATTTGCACCCGAAATGGGATGTTTTCACAATCGGACAAGCATTTTTCAGGGCAAATATGTGAGGGCTAAAGAGGGAAGGAGGAAGGGAGGGAGAGAAAAACCATTCTGCTGTCTTGAAAAATCTCATTGGCCGATCAAAAGCCCACCCGATTTGCTGTTTTCTAGCTATTATCTTTTCTCTTTTGTTGCCAACAGAACTTCCAACCTTTGCTCATCATGTTCCGGCTCCACCATTATATTTTCTTGTCTCTCTTTCACTCTCAGGAAGACGAAGGCATCCAGGTTGGGCTTGGGAACTGCCAAGAAAGACCAGAGAGGAGAAAGTAAAAAGGTTTCTTCAGCAGCACTTAGGAAGATCTCCTGCCATAATATATATGACAACTCGAGGTCTGCTAAGTTCTTGTAGTCCGCCGGAGTAGGCAGCGGAGTCGGACAGTGAGGAGGCTGGGGAGGAAAATGGGCCAGTCCTGGAGTCCGGGGAAGGCTCGGACGAGGGCTCTGCATCGGAGGCAGAGATGGGGCCAGGGCCATCGGGGAGTGATGCACTGACTCCGAAGCCCCCAGAGTTGGACAGCAGAGAGGCAGAGGAACAGGAGGAGCCTGTTCCTAGTGCGCCCATGCGCAGAGCTGCCAGAAGGCAAGAACAGTTAAAACAAAAGGGACGACTTGGGAGTAAGGCCTGGAGATGATTGGCCCCTCCCATAAGGCTTAAAAGAGCAGTAAAGGCTCTTGGGCTCTTTGCGGGAAAGCAACGTTGTTAATTCTGTTCCCAGTCGGCATCTCTGTTTGATTCTGGACTCCGTGTGGCTTTGCCAAGTAGGTCTTTGGCAGCGTGTCAAGGGAGATAAAGGTTGGTGATTATCCCGAAGGACTTTTTGCAACTAATTGGGACTCGGCTTCGAATGAAAGTAATTCACAGCTGTTGCAATAAAAGCGGTTTTTGGGACTACTCGTGTGTTTTAATGACTCAGGAAGCCTAGGTCATAACATAAGTTTCTACTGCCACTATGTCTATGCACACATATTGTTATTATCAGCAGTAGGGAAGATGGATTTCCAAGGCCAGGCTTAATAGCAGTAACTGTGAGAGGGAACTTAAGAGTGGACAACCAATCAAATATGAGCCAACAGTGTGCGGGCGCAGCCAAAAAAGCCAATGCAATCCTAAATTGTATTAACAGAGGGATTCAATCAAGATCAAGTGAGGTACTTATTCCACTCTATAAAGCCTTAGTAAGACACCTAGAATTACACCTAGAATCCTGCATCCAGTTTTGGTCACCACACTATAGAAAAGATGTTGAGACTCTAGAAAGAGTGCAGAGAAGAGCAACTGGGAGGATTAGGGGACTGGAGGCTAAAACATATGATGAACGGTTGCAGGAACTGGGCATGGCTAGTCTAGTGAAGAGAAGGACCAGGGGAGACAGGATAGCAGTCTTCCAATATTTGAGGGGCTGCCACAGAGAGGAGAAGGTCAAGCTATTCTCCAAAGCACCCGAAGGCCAGACAAGGAATCATGGATGGAAACTGAAGAAGGAGAGATTCAACCTGGAAATAAGGAGGAATAAGGATGGTTGATGGTGAGAACCATCAACCCATGGAACAGAAGTTGCCTTCAGAAGTTCTGGGAACTTCATCACTGGAGGCTTTCAAGAAGAGACTGGACTGCCATCTGTCAGAAATGGTGTAAGGTCTTCTGCTTGGGCAGGGGGTTGGACTAGATGATCGACAAGGTCCCTTCCAACTCTGATAATCTGAATCTATTTAACATGATCAAAGTCCCAGAGACTAAAACATACAATGAACGGTTGCAGGAACTGGGCATGGCTAGTCTAGTGAAGAGAAGGACCAGGGGAGACATGATAGGAGTCTTCCAATATTTGAGGGGCTGCCACAGAGAGGAGGAAGGGGGTCAAGCTATTTTCCAAGGCACCCGAAGGCAGACAAGGAACAATGGATGGAAACTGAACAAGGAGACATTCAAGCTAGAAATAAGGAGGAATTTTCTAACAGTGAGAACAATTAACCCATGGAACAGAAGTTGCCTTCAGAGGTTGTGGGAGCTTCATCCCTGGAAGCTTTCGAGACTGGATTTCAGGGGTTGGTCTAGATGACCTACAAGGTCCCTTCCAACTTTGTTAATCTGTAAATATACCCTTGTTTGGCCCGAAGGTCTCCCCGCCCCACCCCATTCCTTTCAGGGATGTCATCTGCAGCTCTCCAGCTTCTTATGGGCTTAAGGGCTGGGCCCTGACTGCCTTCTTGCATTCTTCCTTACCGGCCTTGAGGAACTCAACTTTCTGAAGGTTTGGAGGCATATGTCTCAGTGCAACGTTTTTGAGATGGTTCTCTGTGTTTGCCATGTACCTGAAAAGAAAGAGATTTCTCATTGCAAAGAAAGGAAGGACGAGGCTTCCTGTTTCGCTTAAGCTATGCAGAATGACAAAATGCAACGACAATGAAATAAATAGAATACTGGAGGGAAGGGTTTGTTCGTCTATGCCCTAAGTATCCCCAATTCCCCCGGGAGGATGATTTTTCCTAAAACCACCAACTTCTACTTTGAAGTTTCTTTTGTTGTACAAACCACAAAGTAAAACTAAACCCTTTCCTTGCCTTTCCTTTAAAGGGAATCCCTTTTAACAATAGCAATATACGAATATTGATACGAATGATCCCAGATCTTTGTACTTTCCGTCGCGCACTTAAGACCTTTCTCTTTCACCAAGCTGGACTGGCATAAATCTCTTCATTGTTCTAAATCTTTATGCTGAAAATTTCTTAACTCGATGAGCCAAATTGGCTTAATCATCTTATATTCACATTTTATATGTATGTTATGTTAACTGTTCATCGCCCTGAGTCCCTCAGGAGAAGGGCGGTATAAAAAATTAATTAATTAATTAAATGAATGAATGAATGAATGAATGAATGAATGAATGAATGAATGAATGAATAAATAAATAAATAAATAAATAAATAAATAAATATAGTACTTAAGACTTATATATCGCTTCACAGTGCTTTCCAGCCCTCTCTAAGAGGTTTACAGAGTCAGTCTCTTGCCCCCCAACAATCTGGGTCCTCATTTTACCCACCTCAGAAGGACAGAAGGCTGAGTCAATCTTGAGCTAGGATGGATGGATGGGAAGGGAAGGGAAGGGAAGGGAAGGGGAGGAAGGAAGGAAGGAAGGAAGGAAGGAAGGAAGGAAGGAAGGAAGGAAAATAGCAATAGCCCTTAGACTTATATACCGTTTCACAGTGCTTTCCAGCCCTCTCTAAGCGGTTTACAGAGTCAGCCTCTTGCCCCCCAACAATCTGGGTCCTCATTTTACCCACCTCGGAAGGACGGAAGGCTGAGTCAACCTTGAGCTGGGATGGATGGATGAATGGATGGGAAGGGAAGGAGAGGAAGGGAGGGAGGGAGGGAGGGAGGGGAGGAAGGGGAGAAGGGGAGGAAGGAAGGAAGGAAGGAAGGAAGGAAGGAAGGAAGGAAAATAGTTATAGTACTTAGACATATATATAGAGAGAGAGTGCTTTACAGCCCTCTCTAAATGATTTACAGGGTCAGCCTCTTGCCCCCAACAATCTGGGTCCTCATTTTATCCACCTCGGAAGGATGGAAGGCTGAGTCAACCTTGAGCCAGTCAGGATCGAACTCCTTGAGTGACCAGTGAGTTAGCCTGCAGTACTGCATTCTAACCACTATGCCACCACGGCTCTTTTAATTGAAACATTTCAAATAAATTGTAAATTGAGCCGCAATGAGCTTCAGTGGCGCAGTGGTTAGAGTGCAGTACTGCAGGCTACTTCTGCTGACTGACTGCAGTTTGGCAGATCGAATCTCACCAGGCTCAAGGTTGACTCAGCCTTCCATCCTTCCGAGGTGGGTAAAATGAGGACCCAGATTGTTGAGGGCAATAGGCTGACTTTGTAAACCACTTAGAGAGGGCTGTAAAGCACTGTAAAGCGGTATATAAGTCTAAGTGCTATTGGTATTGCTAAATTAAATTATCTTTCTTCTCTTGGTTGCCTAATTGGGGTCTAGCATACCGAGGCCCGAACCTAGAACCTGTATTTGGCCATCAACCCCCCCCCCCTTCCCAAATCTTTACTCACTCTTTGGCAAAGGCAAACTCTTCTGGGGACAAGATAGATGGGTCTCCTTCTCCCCGAGTCTTTTCCTTCTCCAGGACATGGGGGAAATATTTCTCAATCTTTCAGAGGAAGTAAGCAACAAAAGTAAAAATATACAGGCACTTCTGGTCAAATTTCGATTTACATTCTTATTTCTCGTTTTGGAATCTAACAGTATTGAATACAGGTAAGGATAAAATATTGACTATGTTAATAAATAGGATGTAAGTATATATAACAATTTAGTTTATAAGAATGTCCAATATGGTTATACAGGAATAAGGGAATGATTAGGATGAGTGAATTCAAAAGTAAAGATAATTGTCGATGTAGGAAAATATTGTAAAATATTATATAATGTTGTTATTTATGTTTTGTATTTTACTGTACTACTCTACTCCTAGTGAATTTAGCCACCTGCCAAATGAAATCCACCAGATGCATTGATGCAACTATCCTGAGTTGTTTAATGGGAACTGAAATGCTAGGAAAGAGACAATGAATATTTGGCTGCTGCCTTAAAAACAGGCCAAAGGCACTTCTAAATGCTAAATTCACAAACTCTCTAGGGTTTTCAATTAAGCCCCGGTGGGGTCATTTTACCTTCCGAAGTCGGCAGCGCAAGTAACTGCTGAGAACGTAACGGATTCTTTCCACCTCCATGCGATGAATGCTGATTTTTAGATCTCCTTGTTTGGCTCGTTTCAAATTCTCTTCCTATGGAACAAATAACGACGATAAAAAAAAAAAAAAAATCACTGTAATTTTTCAATAGACCAGGGATTCTCAAATTTTATTCCCACGACCCTCAAAAATGATGATTGGATTTGTCTGATTTGCTCCAAATACCGTATTTTTCGGAGTATAAAACGCAGCTTCCCCCCCCCAAAAGGGAGTGAAAATTTGGGTGCATCTTATACACCGAATATAGCCCCGCCCACCCACTGACCCCCCACCCTTTGGGCTCTGCCTCCCAGCAGTTTACCTCCTTGCAGCAAGCAGCAAGAAACAGCTCCTTTCAGCTTCAGCAGAGCCTAATTAGCTCAAGTTGATTGGATCGGCCTCCCGACTCTCAGCTGTTTTGCTCTCAGCTGTTTTGCGCAGGGCTCTGCTGCTTGCTGCAAGGAGGTAAACTGCTGTGAGCAGATTTTTTTGTGCTAATCTAGTGTGGCAACACGGAAGCTGTCAAGATGGCTTCTGTCAGGTCAGCTTCAGGTGGGTGGTGCACATGTGCGTGCCGGAAACTGGAAGATCATCTTCCCGGTGTGCGCATGTGCGTCGGGCAGCTGCTCTTCCGGTTTCCAGCATGCGCACGCTCCCATTTCGGCACTCGGTGCCACAAAGGTTTGCCAACGCTGTCCTATCACTTTCCAAAAGAGTGCGCTGGAACAAGAGAAGGTCCCGAGTGACTTCTTGAACCAAGATCAGCCACGTTCCATTTACCTGAGCCGAGGTGGCGCAGTGGTTAGAGTGCTGTACTGCAGCTACTTCAGCTGACTGCTAGTTCAGCAGATCAAATCTCACCGGCTCAAGGTTGACTCAGCCTCCCATCCTTCCGAGGTGGGTAAAATGAGGACCCAGATTGTTGGGGGCAATATGCTATTTAGTATACTGTCTTTGGTGTAAGCCACCCAGAGTCCTCGGAGAGTGGTCGGCATAGAAATATGATTAATAAAATAAATAAATAAAATAAATACCTCTTCGGATGCCTTACCATGTGTTGAAGCTGCTCCATGACACATTCAACAATTTCTGTTTTGCTTTCGAGCAGCTCCGGGGCAAATTTCTCATTCATCCAAGCCTGGAGAATAATAACAGAACCTGTCAGAACTGGATTTCACCCCTGATTTATTTATTTATTTGATTTAATTTATATAGAGGAGCCTTGATAGCTCAGCAGACTTAATACATTGTAATTTAACTCCAGTTGTCTGCAATTAGTAAGTTCGAATCTCGCCAGGCTCAAGGTTGACTCAGCCTTCCATCCTTTCTAAGGTAGGTAAATTGAGGACCCAGTTTGTGGGGGCAATAAGCTGACTTTGTATAAATATACAAAAGTATGAAGGCTATTGCTTAGCGCATTGTAAGCCGCCCTGAGTCTCCGGAGAAGGGCGGCATATAAATTAAAGCAAAAAAAAAAAAAAAGTTACTGTTTTGGAGCCAGGCTTTGCCTAAATCAGGGGTCTCCAACCTTGGCAACTTGAAGACTTGGGGACTTCAACTCCCAGAATTCCTCAGCCAGCAAAGCTTCAACTCCCAGAATTCCTCAGCAAAGCTGGCTGAGGAATTCTGGGAGTTGAAGTCCCCAAGTCTTAAAAGTTGCCAAAGTTGGAGATCCCTGGCTTAAATCCTTCACCTTTCTCAGTTTATCCCAAGGAGGAAGTTCCCCAAACCCAGAAAGAACAAAGGTGGGAGAAAAGCTCCAGAGGGCTCAATCCATAACTTGGCTTTTCTTGAAACCCCCCTCCCACACCCCCACACCCCAAAGTCCGGCTTTATAAAGGGAAACCCTAACAGCTGCGGCTGCCGTGTTGCAAGCTCAGCTTACGTCTCAGCTGCATTCCCCACGGCTTTCCGGATTGCAATCAGAAAGGTCGGCAGTTCGAATCCCTGCTACTCCAGGTCTCCCCTGCGCGAGCAGGCGGTTGGACTAGATGCCCTCCAAGAGTCCCTTCCGACTCTGTTTACTGTTAAAAATGCAATGCAATTTAAATGCATTTAATGCAATTTTTTTTTTCTCCCCACCCGGGTTTCAATTTGCAACTTGCTAACGTTTCCCTGAAATTGCAAACTTTCAGTGCAAAAACTGCATTGCAAAACCAGCATTGCATGGAGCCCCTTCCCCCCCCCCCCCCCCTTTTCAATGAAAAAGGGGAGCCCCCCCCCCCCCCAAGACTTTCCCGGCCTCACCTCCTCCAAACTGCAGATGAGCTGAGCGGGCGTGAGCACCACTTCATCGCTCCCGGCATCCGAGTCCAGCTCAGCCATTCCCACGACCGTCCCAAGACCGGGGTTTCCCAGGTTTCCCGCCACCGCTCGGTGACGTCAAACCCTCCAGCGCGCGAAAAGAGGAGGGATTTCCCCCTTCCCCTGCCCGCCCCCACCAGGGGAGGAAAGTCCTCTTCGCCCCGCCCCTTTTCTTAAAGGAGCCGTCGGCCGAAAAAGAGAAAAGGAAAGGAAAGGAAAGGAAAGGAGAGGAGAGGAGAGGAGAGGAGAGGAGAGGAGAGAAGAGAAGAGAAGAGAAGAGAAGAGAAGAGAAGAGAAGAGAAGAAGAGAAGAGAAGAGAGAGAGAAGAGAAGAGAAGAGAAGAGAAGAGAAGAGAAAAGAAAAGAAAAGAAAAGAAAAGAAAAGAAAAGAAAAGAAAAGAAAAGAAAAGAAAAGATGCCTTCGTCAAAGTTCCATCCCTGGAGGCTTTTAAGAAGAGACTAATTCAGATTCAGATTAACCAGAGTTGGAAGGGACCTTGGAGGTCATCTAGTCCACCCCACCCCCATCCAAGCAGGAGACCCTACACCATTTCAGACAGATGTCAGTCCAGTCTCTTGTTGAAAGTCTCCAGTGATGAAGCTCCCACAACTTCCGAAGGCAACTTCTGTTCCATTGGTTGATGGTTCTCACGGTCAGGAAATTCCTCCTTTATTTCCAGGTTGAATCTCTCCATGTTCAGTTTCCATCCATTATTCCTTGTCTGGCCTTCAGGTGCTTTGGAAAATAGCTCGACCCCCTTCCTCCTCTCTGTGGCAGCCCCTCAAATATTGGAAGACTCCTATCCTGTCTCCCCTGGTCCTTCTCTTCACTAGACTAGCCATGCCCGGTTCCTGCAACCGTTCTTCCTATGTTTTAGCCTCCAGGCCTTTGATTATCTTAGATAGATTCAGATTAACAAGAGTTGGAAGGGACCTTGTAGGTCATCTAGTCCAACCCCACAGCCCAAGCAGGAGACCCCGGCAACCATAACTTGTATCACTGAAAATCTCCGTAGACATCCATCATGGCGACCAAAACTGGACGCAGTCTTTCTTAATGGGCACAAAATATCCATCTCCAAAGACTTCAGGAATTTTGGGTTTGAAGTGGAAAAGAATGGAATTTTGATTTTGGGGTTTTCCAAGATAGATTGATAAGATTCTGCGCAAGCGCAGAAGCATTTTGATGACGTCGGGGTCGGTGGGCGGGGCCTCCTGCCGGTTTTACTACCGGTAGGAGGCCTACTCCCGACTCTAAGGGGCGGTGCTCATCTCCGTTTCAAAGCCGAAGAGCCAGCGCTGTCCGAAGACGTCTCCGTGGTCATGTGGCTGGCATGACTCAACGCCAAAGGCGCACGGAACGCTGTTACCTTCCCACCAAAGGTGGTCCCTATTTTTCTTCTTGCATTTTTTACCTGCTTTCGAACTGCTAGGTTGGCAGAAGCTGGGACAAGTCACGGGAGCTCACCCCGTTACGCGGCACTAGGGATTCAAACCCTTGAACTGCCGACCTTTCGATCGACAAGCTCAGCGTCTTAGAATTATTCCCCGCCCCCCACTTCCCAATGAACATTTTAGCAACCCCATCATCCCCTGACCCACCTCCCTCTCTCACATTTTCTGGGTACAATGCAATAGACTAGTGGAAGACGGGAGAAATTGCAGCCTGACCTATCTGCCAAGAGATTGGGGGACCGTAGTGTGTGATACAGTTGTGCGCAATCTAGCATCCACCTGCAGTTTGGTCACCGAGATCCCTGATGTTTATGGCCGATTTTTCGAACGACAAGCTCAGTGTCTTAGCCGCTGAGCCACCATGTCCCATTTTCAGATGAGTTAGGAAAATCCTATGAGAAATTGTGGCTGAGAATGCAAGGTGTCAGGAAGCATTGGATAATAAAACACAGGTCCAAGCCAAAATTCTGATACACAAATTCCACGAGGAGCCCGTGGTATTTAGGGATACTTTACAGCCGATTACACAATTTTGTCACTTCTAGGCAAACGTTGAGTGGGATCTAAAAAAAGCCATATTTTCTTTTCTTCCTCCCGTCCATGTGGGATAACTTTCCATGAGATGCAGGGGAGGGGGGCAAATTATTTGTAGAAGTTAATTCTGCCATCCTGCTAGTATGTCACTAAGACTGTCGTTAAAATTCTAATGCTCAACCCCTTCATACAATTTCAAGATGTAATTTAAAAAGTTATTGCACAATGAAGCCAATATACCGTATTATTCGGAGTATAAGACACACCTTTTACCCCCCAAAAAGAGGGTGAAAATCTGGGTACGTTTTATATTCTGGATGTAGCCCCGTCCAGCTTTTCAAACGGAGGTTTCAGAGGCTGAAAAAAAAGCATCAGAAACGAAGCTTCAGAAAAAAAGCCTCCAAACAGAGCTTCAGAGGCTTTTTTTCTGAAGCTGTTTCGGAGGCTTTCAGAGGCAGAAAAGAAAGTTTTTTCTGAAACAGAGTTTCAGAGGCAGGAAAAAAAAAAAAAAGGAAGGCACAGAACTCACAACCAAGGAACCTGTCACTAAAATTCACCTCTGGAAACAGCTGATTGGGAGTATTCCGGGAGGCCGATCCACCTGCCAATCAGCTTTTTTCTTATTTTCCTCCCCAAAAACTAAGGTGCGTTTTATGCTCTGAAAAATACGGTACGCGCTGCCATCTTCAGAGGACTGTAGTTGTAAACCCTGCTTCGCTTTACTGTCAGAATAAAGGACCTTTAATCTTACCACCCATTTCACCGTTATGAAACAAAAGCAGGCTGCATTTTACACCAGTTCTAGCAAATGACCATTTATTTAAGAAAAAAGGTTACTAAGCCATTATTTCCCAAAGTCAATTGTAACGGGTGCAAAAGGCAAAATACTGTTACAGATTTTACAGATTAGAAAAAACAACTCACGAGTGTATATATATATATATAGATTTCAAATATTAAACTTTTAAACAGGATAAAGAAAAAACAATGAAGAAAGGGAACTGAAGAATTAATACACCTGAAAACCTTGATCCACTATCGGCGTCTCTTCTATTGCTCAAAGGAAAAAAAAAAACCGAACAAACAGACAAACTATGCCACCAGTTTTAAAACTGGTCTTGTTTGGCAAATTCCTTAATACCTGGTCACGAGAGAATAGCAAACTTCCACACAGCAGAATGACTTTGCCGTTTGAGAGTCAAAGAGATACACAGAGTAACCCACATTTGACAGAAAAGAAGGAACGGGACAAAGAACCTTTGATTATTATCATTTTTTGATACAGGGGTAAAATGTTCCAGGTATTTTTGTTAAAGCATCACGCTGGAATGTTGAGCACAAGTAGAAGTACTGCAGAGACGACATTTGAGAAAGGAGAAATAGCTGACGCAGCGAACACCGTTTCCAGGTTGTCCTAAAACCTGTTTGCCCTAAACTAAAACATCTATAAAACCCCAAAACCATATTCATTACCTACATTTACATATTGAACATTTAAGGGTGGAGGAGAGCCGAGAAGTGACACTTTTGCTAACAATGAAGAATTTTTGGGGCTGCCGTGTTTTCCTCATGTCTTTTAACACACGGCTGACGGCTTGTTCTTACGAAATGTACACTGATATGGAGCAGGAGGCTCCATATCCCAAAATACGTCAGCAGGAAAAATGAAAATGAAAAAAAAAAAAAAAACAACTTTTGCGATTTCTTAGTGGAGTCAGTCAGGAAAGATGGGGGCTTGGGGTCCCTTCTCGACAAATCAGCAGGTTGTACTTCATAAAGAGAGGCCTCGTTTTCGGAAACGCGACGCACGCTTGCTTTCTTCTCCAGAAGCGGATAGAAGCCCAGAGTCCACAGAGAGAATTCCCGCTGCCTTGGGTTGGTCATTCCCAGTTGGTCTTCTGCCTGCTGTCTGTGACTGCTCGACTGGGCCAAAGGAACTAGCCCCTTGAGGGACGCTGGAGCTTCCGGCAGAACAAAGCAAGACGGATGCTGCCCAACTGAGCTGGGCTCCCCCCACGAAAAGACAGGAGCTTCTGAAAAGTTAGTCCTTGTGTAAATGGCACTGTGGAGTTCAGGGAAGCAGGGGAAAGGGTGCTAGGACAGAAGAAAGAAAACGAGCGGAAACCAGTTCGCTAGTCCCTGGGAGAGAGAGAGAGAGAGAAAAAAAACTTCATTAACAACATTGAAAGCACAGCATGGCTGCTCTCAGGACTTTACGTCATCCTGTTGGGACTGTTGGAAGGTAGTAGCAATACAAAGCAAAAGGTAAAGGTTCCCCTCGCACATATGTGCTACTTGTTCCTGCCTCTAGGGGGTGGTGCTCATCTCCGTTTCAAAGCCGAAGAGCCAGCGCTGTCCGAAGACATCTCCGTGGTCACGTGGACGGCATGACTCAACGCCAAAGGCGCACGGAACACTGTTCCCTTCCCACCAAAGGGGGTCCCTATTTTTCTACTTGCATTTTTGACGTGCTTTCGAACTGCTAGGTTGGCAGAAGCTGGGACAAGTATTGGGAGCTCACCTGTTACGTGGCACTCGGGATTCGAACCGCTGAACTGCCGACCTTTCGATCGACCAGCTCAGCGTCTTAGCCACTGAGCCACCACGCCCAATTCAAGGCTATAGCATGGCTTTGTCCCTTGCTAAATGGAATAAAACCACAGCAGCTGGAGAGCGATTTGAAGTCCTGAATCCCATCCCATGGGATTCTTTTAGAAAAGACGGAGTAAGTGTATTTATCTCGTTGCTAGTAATATCACTTTTCCCTGTTTATCTTATTGGGAAGAAATAAGACCCGCAGACTACCAGAATTCCCCATGAGTTAAAGTCCACATGTCTTAAAAGTTGCCAAAGTTGGATACCCCTCATTTAGGGAATCAAAGACAGCAAACTTGAAGAAAGAGTTTCCTTCCAGCCTGGTGTTTCTTCTCATCTTCTTTCATGTACTCCAAGAGCGTATGCACCAAGGCAAATTCCTTGTGTGTCCAATCACACTTGGCCAATAAAGAATTCAATTCAATTCAATTCTTTGCCAGCGGTTCTGAAAACGGCCTTCCCCCCTTCCCCCCCCGGGAGGCCAGAAATGGCCCGTTTCTTTGTGGGACCGGAAGTTGGCAAATGGGCCGTTTTCGGCCTCCGGGGAGGGAGGGAGGCCGTTTTCGCCCTCCCCAGCCTCCTAGAAAGGCTCTGGAGGCTGGGGAGAGCAAAAAACGGGCCTACCATACCATTGTGTGCCAGGAGTCTATGGGGGTGTCATGCGCACATGTGCTGGGGCAGGGTGCATAGAATTGTGGGCGTGGGCACGCGTGTGACACCCACCCTCCCCGCTCCTGGCAGGTGATGGCAAAAAGGTTAACCATCAGGTCATTCCAATCCATACGAAGCGGAAAAGCTACATATGTCTGAGACAGCAGGCACGATTCGGCGTAAAACTAGACATTAAAAGCTAGAAAAGGATTGCAGGTAATGCCAACCTTGATCCCAGAGGTGATGTTTTGTTCCTCAAGCATTTATTTTACAATGTAGATTGCCCCAGGCAAACTGTCTCTTCCAGGAGAAAATAAAAAGACGATTCAGGTAGTCCTCGATTTACAACAGTTTGCTGAGTGACCACTCAAAGTTACAATGGCATTGAAAAAAGTGACTTACGACCGTTTTTCACACTTACGACCATTGCAGCATTCTCCCCCCCCCGGTCCCGTGATCAAAATTTGGACCCTCAGCAACTGACTTGTATTTATGACGATTGTCGTGTGCCAGAGTCACATGATCCCCCCTTTGCAACCTTCTGACAAGGAAAGTCAATGGGGAAGCCAGATTCACTTAACAACCGTGTTAAGTGCAGTGATTCACTTAACAATGGTGGCAAGGTAGGTCGTAAAATGGGGCAAACCTCCCTTAACACATGGTCTCACTTAGCAACATAAATTTTGGGCTCAATGGGGGTTGTACGTTGAGGACTACCGGCAGTTAAGAAACCCAAGATTTAAAAGACAAAATAACATGTTAAAAATCTTCTTCTCCAGGTGCCCATTTGGAGAGAGAGCAACCAGAAAAAGGAAATAGCAGAGCATCCTTTTCTCTCCTCCTCTACTGCTCCACGCTTGTCAGTGGTTCACAGAATTATAGGGTAGCAAGCTTTAGGGATAACAGCTACTGGCGTGAAACCAAGAGCCCATTTTCACTCTGGAATTTCCAGGTTATTAGTGGCCTAAAATGCACTGACAGAGCCAGTGCAATAGATGGAAAACAGGATGGTTTCCAATGGGAGGGGCACAGGCTTGTACTAGTTCAGCCACCCAAGAGTTGGGACTGTAAAACACATCAGCAGGACAACGTCTTTAAACGGGCGCTCTTCAACCCAACAGGAGTGTGCCAATGTTCAATTCACGCAAAATACAACGTAGGTGCCGAGTTGTTAAAACACCAGTAGCTGATAATAGAATAGAAAAGCAAGAGTTGGAAGGGACCTTGGATGTCATCTAGTCCATTTAGTCCGGATTCCCGTTTAGGCAGGAAACCCTACACCACTTCAGACAAATGGTTGTCCAACATCTTCTTAAAAATTTCCAGTGTTGGAGCATCCACAACTTCTGCAGACAAGTTGTTCCAATGATTAATTGTTCTCCCTGTCAGGAAATTTCTCCTTAGTTCTAAGTTGCTTCTCTCCTTCATTAGTTTCCACCCATTGATTCTTCTCCTGCGTTCAGGTGCTTTGGAGAATAGCTTGACTCCCTCTTCTTTGGGGCAGCCCCTGAGATATTGGAAGACTGCTATCATGTCTCCCCTAGTCCTTCTCTTCATTAAACTAGACATGCCCAGTTCCTGCAATTGTTCTTCATATGTTTTAGCCTCCAGTCCCCTAATCCTCTTTGTTGCTCTTCCCTGCACTCTAGTCTCAACATCTCATAATCTATCAGACAAATGGTCCAATATATATCACCCCAGTGCATTTTATCCTGGTTTTTAACCATGTAATCATCCATGCAATGATGCAATTAGGCTCTTAAAAAAAAACTTTCTAAATTAAGAAAATTATAAATCGCTAATGAATTACTAAGACTTTTATGCCACCATTCCAGAATGAGGTGGTTTCTTGTCTACCTAAAATCCTCCTTTCTGGCTACATTCTGTTCTGTTCAGGTCGTTTTAGTCATAATAAATTATTTAAAACCATAAAACAAGGTGGGCTTGGAAACCGATTGCTTTTTCAAGCTTTGGCACACCATTTGCCAGAACATCATGAAACTTCTTACCGGCTATAATAATATAGTTTTCCAGCAGTTCTTTGCAATTTCTTTGGAAAGAACAAATGTTTGCCTTAATCCGTATTTTCAAAACCTTGCAGTGCCCGAGACAGATTAAATGGGGATAAGTACTACCATCCTGCCATTTATTGAGAGCCTTCCTGTTATTTTAATTTGCAAATTTTCAATCCAAGCCCCATAATCCTCACTTCCTCAGCCAGTCTGCGTTTGAAAGACTCCCGACGTGGCCAGGTCTACGATGTGCAGGTTGGCAAATTAAAGAAGCAGGTAGATAGTCTAGACATAATATAATTTATTAATCTAATTTATAGCCCACAGCTTCAAGATCAGGGGAAGAAAAGGAATTCTGGCCCACACAACAAGTAAAAAAAAAAAAAAACCAGCATTAATTCATTGAGCGGTAACTAAGGATGATTGTTGCTCGAACATATTAGAATTAATGGCTCTTCCAAAGCCCAAAAGCAGATGTTTTTCCCATAATGGGGTTGCCAACTGTGGCAAGCCTCACGGAACTATATACTAAAAACCGACACAAAAATGTACGTACATGGTTAGAAGCAAATGAAAGCTCTTTCACGGCGGTGCTTTGAAATAAAGATGCCCATTACCCAGGAATTTCATTGAGGGCTGCATTGGGGTTGTGTTTGATCTGTCGGGGGTGGAGGGGCATCTCGACATCACTCGTGTTGGGGGCACCTGTGGTGACCAAGTGCTAAGGCACGACTTCCTTCAAAGCCCCCCTCACTCTCATTATTAAGCTCCTTCCTTTTTCTTCCTTTGACTTCCCTCTTCATTCTTTCTCCTTCCTTCCCCTCTTTCCTTCTTTTTCCTTCCTGGCTCTCTTCCCATCTTCCCATCTTCCCTTCTTTTTCTTTTTCTTTGTCTTTCCTCTTTCCCTTTCTCCCTTCCTGTCTCTTCTTGCTTGCTCAAATGAAAAAGGGGAAACATGTCTTTTTTATTTTGTTTTTAGTTTCTTTTGCTAGCCATCTGCCAGTGAAAATGGAGCTCCGTTTTCGCTGGCAGAGGCACCGCAGGCTGGTCACTTGCTGTTTCTAGGGTGGCCCGATGGGCCAGATCCAGATGGGCTGCTGGGGCTTTTCAGGGGTTCGGGAGAACCTCTAAGCTAAGATTCTGTGCAGTTTGGAGAACCCCCAAATCCCACTCTTGCTGGCCCCGCCCATCCAACCCCTCCCAGGAGTCCCCACGCAGCCCATTTTGGATGCAGGTAAGTGCAGAGTGTGCACAGAGGCTCGGGGAAGGCGAAAAACGGGCCCGTTTCTGACCTCCAGAGGGCCTCCGAAGCCTGGGGAGGCTGTTTTTGCCTTCCCGGAGGCTTGAGGAAAGCCACTGGAGCTCAGGGAGGCAAAAACACCCACACACCCACCCATGGTCCAGGAGGCTGACTAGGCCACGCCTACCATGGCCACGCCCACACAGCAACCAGGCAGAGAACCCCTTGCTAAAATTTTTTAAGCTCACCCCTGGCCAGATCTAAGATGCGGCCCACGAGCCTTGAGTTTGACAGCCCTGCTGTACATTATTGTACCAGAACTTTGGGCTTTTGATTTGAAAGTTCTAGATTTTATCAGTTATTAGGGACATATAACGTCTACTGTACTTAGGACACCATGAGGGGCATTTTGGATAGGGAGATTTTTGGTGAAGCATGGTTCAAGCTCAACAGCCTCGGTGGTGCAGCGGACTAAGTGCTGTTAAGTGCTAGCACTTAGCTGCCAGCTGCCTGCAATTAGTGAGAGTTCAAATCTCACCAGGCTCAAGGTTGACTCAGCCTTCCATCCTTTCGAGGTAGGTAAATTGAGGACCTGGATTGTGGGGGCAATAAGCCAGCTTTGTATAGAACAACACTGCTGGGGGGGGGGGAGAAAGCCCTAATAAGCAGATATATACATAGAAGTATGCAGGCTATTGCTATAATGCATTGTAAGCCGCCCTGAGTCTACGGGGAAGGGTGGCATATAAATTGGACAAACAAACAAACAAACAAATAAGTAGGTAGGTAGGTAGGTACGTATTCATAAGGTTTACCTTTGACATCAAAGGTTTATCTTCCACTGCTCACACCTCTGTCTTCATAAATGGTAATTTCAACCTGTAGAGCACGTCTGTTAAGGAAAATATTCTGCAGGGCAAGTCAGGGAGGTTAAAAACAAAGGAGATAATAGAGGTTACTCTAGATTTTCAACTTGACGTCCTTCAGAAGTGTTGGGCTTCTAACTTCCAGAGTTGACATAGGGGCCAGGGATCCTGGAAGCTGAAGTTCAAGGGATGTTACCAGGGGTGAGGGGATTATTACAGCAGACATTCCCTTAGTAACCGATTGTAAGGCAGCCATCTGTACCTGGAACCCTGAAAATAAAGAGGCCACATCTACCTTCTGTTCTTCACAAGCAGAAAAGCCTAAGTTGCATTTCTCTTTGCAATCATTTCATTTAAATAACCACAGTGTGGGGTTTTTTTTGGCTTCATGAAGGGATGGGGAAATAAAGACAACCCATGAGTTGGCAAAAGTTTAGGAACCCACAGAAAAAGATACAACTCTTAGTCCCCGCTCAATGGGGTCAGTCAACAGGAGGCCTTGTGGAGCGTAGATCTTCTCGTTTTGCTCCTGAATGTACTTGGCAATTTTCTTTAGAACCTGGAATAAAAAAGACAGATGCTTGTTTCAATTCCAGTTTGTTACAAACTCTTGGTAATGCTTGTAAATGACGAAGGTCTCATAACAGGGAGGTTCATGAACATGTTCCAGCCAATGTGAGGTCCAGTTGCTCTTAGCCCAACTGGACCTCACAGAATCATAATTGTTAGGAGAGCCCTATACTGTGATTGAATAAAACACATAAAAATACTGGTACTCAACTCACAAGATTCAGTCATTCATAAGCAAAGGCCAATATCATTAGTTGCTATAGTAGCAGGAAATCATTATATCATTTAATAACATTCTCATGGAATAAAAAAAGACCCAACTGCTTTCTTATCACAGGACATCCTCGTTTTTAACCAACCAACCAACCCAGCCAACTCACCCATCCATGATTTAATGAACTGACACAATTGTCTTGGTTTGCTCAAGACTGAACCATAAACTCAACACACTGGTTGTGTACACACATCGCACTGGGCCACAAACTGGAGCACACCACATTTTAGTTCAAAATATCGTATACGTTCATCCTGAGTATAAAGTAGCTCAGAACACGAATACTAGACTCAACAACTGTTTATAGCCACTACGAAAAAAATAGCCTTCTACCATCAAGATCAACTCATGGTGACTGCATGGACACTTCCTTGGAAAAAAAAAAAGCACTACAATTTTCCTAGCAGCAATGTGGAAGACTGTTTGTCATTCTGTCATATTTGTTTTCTTAGTCTAGCCCACATCCCAATAGTCTCCCATCCAAGCCTGACTATATTCAGCTTCCTAACGCACAGAATACCTGCAAGCTATTCTCACAACTCTCTATAACCTCTCCCTGCAATGATGGTATTGTGTTGTACACAACTGGGCACGCACATAAAAATATTCTTCCCTTGAGACAATGCTCCCAACAACTACTCTGGCAAAGGCCATTCTTGCTGCTAACCCCAGTGGAAAATCTGAAAGGTTTGTTTTACATGGAAATGGAGGCTGCCTGGATCACAACTGACATGTATCACTTAAAATATTTGCAAAAGGTTCTTTTCAACTAGACCAGAGATTAGCATTAGACAGAAATGTGGTGCTTGGAAAGTATTTTATCCCAATTTCAGAACAGGCAAGATTTTGAAAGCCAACTTGGCTGGAACGAAGTGTGTTCAGTGTCCATTTTCAAAAAGGAGAAGACCACAAAGGCATTCTCAGTAGAGAGACCTTGGAGTAGCCACAGACTGGCACAAAATCCCGATGATATAAAACCAGGAGCAGAAGCCATTAGCGTGAAACTGATTCTCCTTGGTAGAGCTAGAGGACTGTGTCATGCTGACTTCTGAGAAAAGACAACCTTTTTAAAAAAAAATTCTGAAGATCATTATCTGGCCAAAAACAAGGCCTTTTAAGGCCAGGAAAGTGGTGGATGGAAAAAATGCCATTTTTTTTTTTTCTTCAGGAAGGCCACCCTGAAATGTTATCAATGCAGGAAAGCCAACTAGCTGGTAGGGGCAATAAGAGTGTGAAATGAAAGCACCGAGAGGAAGCTTATTTTCCGTGGATGAATTTATGGCAATAGACCCTAAGTGAAATAGAAGAAGGATACCAAGGCAGCCTTCAAAGCACCATGCTGTTCTCAAGGGGAGTCTGCACCTCTATAACTGTCTGGTTTGGCTCTGCAACCCAACAAGACAGACACAGACTTCAGAGGATAATTAGAACTGCAGAAAAAACAATGGCTACCAACCTGCCTTCCGTTGAGGACCTGTATACTGCACGAGTCAAAAAGAGGACTGTGAAAATATTTACAGACCCCTCACATCCTGGACATAAACTGTTTCAACTCCTACCCTCAAAATGACACTATAGAGCACTGCACACCAGAACAACTAGACACAGAAACAGTTTTTTCCCAGACGCCATCACTCTGCTAAACAAAGAATTCCCTCAACACTGTCAAACTATTTTCTAAGTCTGCACTACTATTAATCTTCTCATCGTTCCCATCAGCCATCTCCTCCCACTAATGACTGTATGACTTGTATCCTTATGATTTATATTGATATTGTTTCCTGATTGCTTACTTGTACCCTATGACTATCATCAAGTGTTGTACCTCATGATTCTTGATGAACGTATCTTTTCTTTTATGTACACTGAGAGCGTACGCACCAAAGACAAATTCCTTGTGTGTCCAATCACACTTGGCCAATAAAAAATTCTATTCTATTCTATTCATAAGATGCAGGCATGAAATATAAGTCAAGGCTATCAGAGGACAAGGGAGAAGAGGAAAACTAAACTTCTGGGAAAAGGTCAGCTAACTAGACAGAAACTGGGGAAGAGACAGGTTCAAGTCCCACTCAACCACGTAATTCATTGGTTAATTTTAAATTTGTTTCTCTCCTGTTTTACAAGGCTACTAGAAGCATAAAAGGAAGATTCCCCAGATATTCTTCTTTAAAGGAAGGCAAGGTACAATTTTAAGAAACAAAGACTGTGTGAAAAAGGAGTTGGAGGAACCTTTGCTCAATTTATTGAAGTACAACTCAAAGAGAGAAGCAACCTAAAACTACGGAGGAATTTCCTGACATTGAGAACAATTAAAATCATTGGAATGGCTTGCCTTCAGAAGCTGTGGGTGCTCCATTCTGCTATATTAACGTTCTTTTGAATCACTCACAATTGGCTGAGAACACTGTATGAAACCGTAAATCATGGTTTATAAACTAGATTAGGTTCACACAATATACTAAGTCATCTTAGCAAAATGCAGGAACCAGATTTCACTGTGATTATCTCCTGGCCGTGCCCCCGTTTACATATTCCGTTTACCTATCGCTTTTATAGTCGTTTGTGTTTTTATTAGCTTTTATAATTTCATTGCTTTATAAGGTTTTTAATGTCCTTCCGATATAAACTACAAGAAGTCTCTCTCTCTTTTTTTTTAATGTTGTGGCATATAAACACAAGAATTAAGCTGTGGTGGCGCAGTGGTTAGAGTGCATTACTGCAGCCTACTTCTGCTGACTGCCGGCTGCCTGCAGTTCAGCAGTTTGATCCTGATCGGTTCAAGGTTGACTCAGCTTCCATCCTTCTGAGGTGGGTAAAATGAGGACCTAAATTGCTGGGGGCAAGAGGCTGATTCTGTAAACTGCTTAGAGAGGGCTGCAAAGCACTGTGAAGCGGTACATAAGTCTAAGGGCTATTGCTGTTCCTCCCTCCCTCTGTGGCCCAGTGGTTAGAATGCAGAATTGCAGGCTAACTCTGCCCACTGCCAGGAGTTCGATCCTGACCGGCTCAAGGTTGACTCAGCCTTCCATCATTTGGAGGTCGGTAAAATGAGGATCCAGATTGTTGGGGGCAACAGGCTGACTCTGTAAACTGCTTAGAAAAGGCTATAAGACTTATATACCAGTGTGAAGTGGTATATAAGTCTTAAGTCCTTTTGCTATTGCTATTAAACAAATAAACCACCATCCTCTGCTTTGTCTGGAAGGAAAAAACCCCCACACATAATGGAACATTTCCCCATCTAAACAGAACAAAATGGACAGAAAGCACCTGTGCTAATCTAGCCTTCCTCTTGAGATAGTTATTTATTTATTTTTTCATAGGCAGACACTTTGATTTATACCAAAATATTCTATCATGGGATACAGCTCTACCACAGAGGAGCAGATGCAGGAGTCCTAACACTTAGCAACGTGAGGCTAAATACATTCAACCTGTAAGTATTGTCAGAAAGTCGGAATGGAAAATGGACATTCTTGAATATAGAATGGAAGCAGTAAATCACATCCTGCTCGGACTTTAATAACTGAGGTTTAACATGATGCCTTTCCAGTATTTTATTTCAAGGGATTAGATGCTGTTCCTTCTGTGGAATTTTTTCCCCTGCCATCAAACCTCCAAGTGTATATACATTACCCCTTTTTTTTCCTTTTAGGGAAAGGAAAGGAAATCAACTGACCTTCTCATAATGTGTCTCCATGCACAGAAATATAGTGTAAGCAGTCAAGCAAGCCAAGCACCCTTCCAGGTAAGACTGGCTTCCAAGTTTCTCCGCTTCGGCATAAAGGTTATTCAGGGTCCGTACGGTTTCTTCAAACTGTTGCCTGTCAATCTGAACAAAGGATCTCGTTTAGAAACGGACATTCAGGCAGGTACAGAATCTACTTTCTTGAATGGAAACAACCTTCAGAGTATTTAGATGAAAGCCATATGGAAGTTCAGATGGCTCAGATCCCCAGGAAACAGAACCTGACTTCTCGGATGGAGAGTTATATGTCAGGAGCCTCATGTGCAGAACTCAGACTAAGGAAACAATTACAAGTTTTAAAATAGTCACAGAAAGAATGCAATTTCCTTCAGAAGAGCATTTCAAGGTATTTTTCAAAGCTGCTCCTGGCACAACTCAATTCACAAAAGAAAGCAATCAGGCTGCTACAATGAAAACAGTATGTTTCTCCTTGGTGGATCACAAGGACAAACGGTATTTGCTTTTGCTTTCAACACTGATATCCACCCAGCATAAGTAGCTAGTAAATTAAGAGTATTTGAGAACAAAAATAACAGAAAATTCTCAGTAGCAGAGAGAAACTTGACCCACATAGCAAGAACAGTAATTCCAGAACATACAAATAATTTGTTCATTATTCTCAAACCATTAAGGATGACACTACCATGACTACTGTGTTTTCCCGAAAATAAGACCCTGTCTTATATTTTTTTGAACCCTGAAATAAGCGCTTGGCCTTATTGCCATGTGCTCAAAAGCCCCATTTGGCTTATTATCAGGGGGTGTCTTATTTTGGGGGAAACAGAGTAGATTTAATATATTTTTTCTCTTTTTCTTTCACTTGAAAGTTGAAAGGTGCTTTGAGGCAGACATCTCAGGCTACAATCCTAGATCCACTGCGTTATTTATTTTATTTCTTTATTAATTTTTTTAATTCTGTCTTTATTACTTACTAGGAGAGTCATTCTACGCAGTAAAGTTTACTTCTTAGCAAATACATAGACAATCTGGCTGTCAGATTCCTAGTTACTTATAATATCACAAATTTTGACTTTCCTCCAGGAATCTTAGAAGCTGGAAATGCTGCCCTCAAAGTGCAAGTACTCAAATCCTGAGGATTTGAGCGTAGCAGCTCAACATTCATACATGCTACATTTGATTAGGTTTCTTTTGTGGCTTTCTGAACAGCGTCAATGCAACCTATTTTTATTATTCAATGCATTGACCTGAACACAGAAAACAGCTATCTATTCTGCCATCCTGTTTCCATGGTTCTTGTGGTTATTATCCTCCTCTTGAAGAATTCATTGGAAGAGATCTATTGTTAAAAAGATCAATTAGGCACATGTTAGCCATGTTGAAGCAACACTCCAGCAAACATATTTGATCGATCGGGCTTATACGCTACCAAATCCTTGCAAACTAATGGCAGTGCAGAACTGCAGAAAAAACAATGGCTACCAACCTGCCTTCCATGGAAGACCTGCATACTGCACGAGTCAAAAAGAGGGCTGTGAAAATATTTACAGACCCCTCGCATTTTGGACATAAACTGTTTCAACTCCTACCCTCAAAACGACACTATAGAGCACTGCACACCAGAACAACTAGACACAAGGACAGTTTTTTCCCAAATGCCATCACTCTGCTAAACAAATAATTCCCACAATACTGTCAAACTATTTACTAAGTCTTCACTACTATTAATCTTCTCATCGTTCCCATCACCCATCTCCTCCCATTTATGACTGTATGACTGTAACCTTGTTGCTGGTATCCTTAAGATTTATATTGACAGTTTCCCTATGACTATCATTAAGTGTTGTACCTTATGATTCTTGACGAATGTATCTTTTCTTTTTATGTACACTGAGAGCGTATGCACCAAGACAAATTCCTTCTGTGTCCAATCACACTTGGCCAATAAAAAATTCTATTCTATTCTATTCTATTCTATTCTATTCTATTCTATTCTATTCTATTCTATTCTATTCTATTCTATCGTTATTCTATTCTTTTCCATTCTTTACAATCAAAGTAATACATCTGTAGCAGCAATATGTAGAAAACTTTCCACAGTCTCCAGTAAATATTTAATTAAGTGCTCTTTTTCCGGCTTTGTCAAAAACATCTTTGGTATAAAACCATCTGTAATTATACAAAAAAATAGCCCTGACTTTGAAATCCAGGATTTTTGTTTATAATTCTATTGTTTCTTATACTATTGCTGTTTTCTATCATAGTTGGACGTAATTTGTATGCTGCCTAAAGCCTTTAGAGTAAAGTAGCTTATGAATGTTATAAATGACTGGAGGACTTTGGACCAGTCCTTTTCTCTTGACCCTGGGAAGAATGCAACAGCAAAGCACTTCTGAAAAACTTGACAAGGAAACTGCAGGGACTTGTCCAGACAGGCACTAGAGGTCAACACTGACTCGAAGGTGCGTGCGCACACACATCTTAACACCTACGTGTTCCTAGCGTCATAGACAAAATAGTCCTGTCCGTAGCATCTGTCTAAATCAGGGGCATCCAACCCTGGCAACTTTAAAGACCAGAAGTCCCCAGTCAGCCATGCCGGCCAGTCTCACCCTGACATGCTCTTCTTCCTACTTGCCATCCCAAGGGAAAGGGGCTCTCAAAAGTTTATTTTGCTCTGCTTTAATCCCAATGCTTTTAAGAGGGATCCATATACAGCAATGCCCTTACTAATCATTATTCTCCAAAGCACCGGAGGGCAGGACAAAAAACAATGGTTGGAAACTAATCAAAGAAAGAAGCAACCTGGAATTAAGGAGAAACTTCCTACAGTGAGAACAATTAACCAGTGGAACAGCTTGCCACCAGAAGTTGTAGGTGCTCCATCACTGGAGGTTTTTAAGAAGACACTGAACAGTCACTTGTCTGAAATGGTATAGGGCAGTGATGGTGAACCTATGGCACGCGTGCCGGAGGTGGCACACAGAGCCATCTCTCCGGGCACGCCAGTCATAGCTCGTTGCTCTTCCGGGTTCTGCCGCTTCCGCGTGTGCGTGGCAGGCAGCTGCTCTTCCGTTTTCCGGCACACTGCCCTGTGCATGCGCACACTCCCATTTTGGCACTTGGTACTGAAAAGGTTCGCCAATACTGGTATAGGATCTCCTGCTTGAGAAGGGGGTTGGACTAGAAGACATTGTTCTGCCCCAGCTACGGGCCCCAAAGAACACAGCACACACAAAGTCTGTACAAAACTTAAATTTACTAAAATAATTGAGGCTTTTTCCAAACAAAGGCTGTTAATAAACTTTCTTAACAGCCTACAAGAAACCAAAGATAAAGTAATCACAATCTTACGAAGGTTAGCAGAAAGCCCAGAAGCAATTTGCAGAGAATCCAGACGTGAAGTAGAGTGAACTAAAGTTGTTCCCTACAAATTGCTTCAGTCGGCGTTCCTCCTTAAATAGGCTAAGGGAGTGGCCAATTAGCCCCAAACCTTACTTTCAAGGAGACCTCCTCCTGAGGAGCCACTCCTGCCTTTTGGCAGCTCTGCGCGCCCATGCATTGAGAAGAGGCTCTTCCTCTTCGTCTTCTTCACTTAAAGGAGCTTCTGGAGGTTCTGAAGGCCCTGGCTGAATCCCTGCCTCTGGCACCACATCTTCTCCAGCCTCTTCATTGTCTGACTTGAGTGCCAGCTGCACAGGCTGCTGCCGCAGCACCACACCAGCCTCATTATCAGAATCAGCTACAATCCGCACAGGCCGCTGACGGGCCACAACAGACATCCAAGGTCTATTCCTATTCCTATTCCTATTCCTATTCCTATCCTATCCCTATCCCATCCTATTCCTATAACCAAATGTTTCATTGCCAAATACCCATCCATATGGAGCTGATGTAACTTGGTCCTTGTCGTCTTTTATTCTTTTGGTTAGTGGCAGATTCTAACCTGAATAACGTAACCCCAAGAACTGAAGTCCAACTGAGAGATGCTGGGAAAGGAAGCCCAGCTGTTGCTTTAGTCACCACCCTAATAAAGGGATTCCCACAAGACAATCCTGGCTCTTGTGTGGTTCTTTAATTGCTTGCGCTCAGCAGTCAGCCGGGCAAACCTGTTTTGCAAACTTCTTAACAGGAAGTAGGCACCATCAAAGGGTTATAGCTCTGAGATTTCATATGTCTGTCCTATAAACTTAAATCCAATCCAAGGTTACCATCCTGCACAAATCAAAGGTATGAGAAACCAAAGAATTCAATTGGTAGGATTGAAATATTTACCCATCACGGAAGAGAAATAAAAGAAGGCTCTGAGGTAAAGGTAAAGGTTCCCCTCGTACATATGTGCTAGTCGTTCCCAATTCTAGGGGGCGGTGCTCATCTCCGTTTCAAAGCCGAAGAGCCAGCACTGTCCGAAGACGTCTCCATGGTCATGTGGCCGGCATGACTCAACGCCAAGGCTCTGAAATGCTAGTTAAATGTTTGGGTGGTTTCTAGAACAGCTCTTTCAAAATCTGTACGGTAATAGGTTTTCAATTAAAAAAAATAACTCCGAGCTCTCATTTGTTGTTCTAGGAGTAGATCTCCCATACTCTATCTCGGCTTTGAAATAAGATGGCTTTTCCTGCATCTTTGTCACTATTGATTTCAGCTTAATTATAAAAATAATTTACAATCCTGATTTAAACATTTAAAAAACCCGAAGACAGAAGGGTAAAGCAGCTAAAGACAACCGATGCAGTGTAAAATCCAGAAGAAATACAACTTTGCGGTGAAGATTGCTTCGTACCATGCTAGCTCTTTTTAATTAAATTACCTACCGTAGATACAGATTTAGCTGAAGTACAGAACCAAGCAAGCCGCTATGAAAGGGGGGCAATTTGGGGGCCCCAGGCAATAGTACGTAACATGGATCCAGCCCAACTTTGGCTTCTTAAGCACACTATAGTTTAAAGTGTAGGGATTATTACTCACCCGATTTTCCAACTCTGGGGGGAATTTGGTCTGGAACTGGCACTTAGTGCCACTGCTGTAGTCCCTTTGGATGAAGACTTTGCTGGCAACAGGCGGCTGCTGTGGCCTCATCTCGCAGCTCAAACTGGCCAGTCTGGATGTGAAAAGGAGAGATAAGCTATCAAAGTGTGTCCCACTCTTTATCAGGTCCCTCTAGTTTTACCTCCCGTGTGCCGACTGCATTGGAACATGTGCCTGGATGATCAGCTCCCTGGTTCTACACACTGGGTAACTATTATAATCAATTAAATGGTTCTATACGTCTGGCATGCATACTTGAAGGCATTATTCCCTCTACTTAAAAAGGATGAGTACTTAATATGTATAAGAACACTGCTCCAGTTGTTATGAGGTACAAGTGATCCTCAACATCCTGCTATTTGTGCTGTAATCTTGAATGTACTCTAAGATGGCTTTTTAATATATGAAACATACTCTTATGATTCAGCTCTCCCTGCAACTCAAGAACCCCATTTAAAAAACACACACACACCAATGAGGAGAGACTGAAAAGACTGGGGAAATATTTAGCCTTGAGAAGACGAGGAGACAAGGTTGAGTGGATAATATAAGACAGCAGTTTCCAAATGTATGAAAAGAAGGGGTCTTGTTTCCATCATCCCAGAAGGCACAGCGTGGACCAGTCATCTGAAGTCAGAGGAAGGCAGACTCCAACTGAGTGTTAGGCCAACCTTTCTAATGGTAAATAGAATTCAGCAGTAAAAGTAACAGCCTAGGGGAGAGATCTTCAAACTTGGCAGCTTTAAGACTTGTGGACTTCAACTCCCAGAATTCTCCAACCAGCTGGCTGGAGAATTCTGGGAGTTGAAGTCCATAAATCTTAAAGCTGCCTAGTTTGAAGACCTCTGGCTAGGGACTGTATCTATTTTAAATAGATTCAGTGCCTTCCAATGCATATACCATCTCTAAGAGTCTATGCCAGTAAGAGATACATGCTGGCATTCTAATCAATTTTCTCTGTCTCAAAGGTCCAGAGCTTGTTCCACCTCACTTCAGCACTAGGAAGTTATTTAAAATATTGCAATTGAATCTTTTAGCTTAAGAATTCCCATGAATGTACCGGTGGAAAGAGGACTGGTGTAATCAGAACAAAACTGATCCCTCTTGACGGAGGTTAAGCACCCCAGTTCAAATTGCCTCCCCGCCCCCAAATTTATTTTTTTATTTACTTACATGCATCCCGCCTTTACTATTTTTACAAATAACTTCAGGCGGTGAACATATCCAACGTACCTTCCTTCTCCTATTTTCCCCACGAGCACCACTCTTTGAGATGGGTTGGGTTGGGCTGAGTGAGTGAGTGAGTGAGTGACTGGCCCAAAGTCACCCAGCTGGCTTTTCACAGCTAAGGCGGGACTTGAACTCAAGTCTCCAGCTTTCAACCCTGGTGCCTTAACCACTAGACCCAAACTGGCTCTCATCAAATCATAGAAAGGGTGTTGAAATTTATGCAAACAGCTGAGACAGAGCACAAGAAAGACATATATCAAGTGCTTCCTCCATTGTGTAGATGGACAGGTGGCCTTAGACCAGCCAATCAGAGCCTAATCATCCGTGGTGGCGCAGTGGTTAGAATGCGGTATTGCAGGAAAACTCTTCCCATAGTCAGTTCAATCCTGACCAGCTCAGGTTTGACTAATCCTTCCATCCTTCTGAGGTCAGCAAAATTTGGACCCAGATTATTGGGGGAGGGGGGGATATGCTGCCACAGTAAACCACATAGAGGGGACTGTAAAGCACTGTGAAGCAGCATATAAACCTAAGTACTACTGCTACTTGTCTCCCATCCAAATAGAAACCGGGGTATTTATCTATGGTATCTTTCTCCCTGATGTGGATGGATACAAAACACCAATTTTTTGATGGCTTCAGAAGAGGCTCTTATTTAAAATCATTTTCACAATTGGAGAGACAAGAGCGGAGAGCAGTGTCTTTCCTGTGGTGGCTCCCCATTTTGATGGCAGTGCTTCTCTCCCCCCCCCCCCCCCCCCGCCCTGCCCCACAAGCTACTGATATCCCCTTTCTATCTTTGGATTCCAAATCAAATCAGGACAACTGCATCCAGGAAGCCCTTTAAAATGCGCCCTTTCTTTAGATGTCCTCCACTTTCCTTTGGAGATCAACTTTCCTCCAACTCCCTCTCCAGTTGAAAGCAGTAAAAGAGGGAATCTATAAAGGCATAAAGTCCAGAAGCCTACAGTCCAGAAATTTTTACCAATTTCTCCTTTTCTTTTTACTTTTTTCTGAGGGTTCCCAGACGATCCCTTTCAAAATACCACTTTCCTACAGCTGCAAAAAGCCGGGAAAAATGGCTTTTCTAGGTGCCACAGCCTTTGGTATGGTCTTTTCCCAGTTTATGCCCTGTATGTATTTGTATATGTGTGTGCACTCAAACTCTGGCTCCTTTTCACCTCTTCATTTATTTCAGAATGACCCCCACCACTGTCCCAAAACAAACCCTATTTACGATACGAAAACCATTCCATCCACACAAATAATAAAAATACCTCGAATAATAAAAATAGGGATAGCATCGATCCATCATCCCAGAGACTCCTCTGTATATGTGTGTGTGTGTTTGTGAATATCAAGATCACTTTGGAGAAGCTGCTGCTACAGGGCCAATCTCTCTCCCCTCCCCACCTCTTTCCCCCCTCCCCACCCCCAAAAAAGCAAAGCCTGGGGACTCTTCCTAAGCAGCAACCCGTTTATAGGGCAGCTCAGAGGCTGAAGTCCATTTGGCCAAGCGCAGCTGGGGGAGAGGGGGGAGGGAAAAAAAGGGGGGAGGGAAAAAAGAGAGGGAGAGGGGAGGGGAAAAAAGAGGGGAGGAAAAAAAGGGGGGAGGGGAGGAAAAAAGGGGGAGGGGAGGAAAAAAGAGAGGGAGAGGGGAGGGGAAAAAAGAGGGGGAAGGAAAAAAAGGGGAAGAAAAAAGGAGGGAGGAAAAAAGAGGGGAGAGGAGGAAAAAAGAGAGGGAGAGGGGAAGGGAAAAAAGAGGGGGAGGAAAAAAAGGGGGAAGAAAAAAGGGAGGGACGAAAAAAGAGGGGGGGAGGAAAAAAGAGAGGGAAGAGGGGGAAAAAAGGGGGGAATTAGACGTTCCCGCCTAAGAAAGGCGGCCGCCCAAAGACCCAGGCCATAAGGAGACCCTCCCCCCACCCAGGAAGCCCCCTCCCCACCCCCACCACAGGGCCAGGCTCTCTCTTTCTCTCACACGTTTAACGCCCCCCCTTTAAATTACCTCGCCCCCCCACTTTTCCAGTCACTCTTACCTCCCCCACCCCGCCCCCCCAGAAAACAACTGCCCTAAAGCCCCCCCTCCCCTCCCCCACCACCACCACCAGAAGAGGAGGCCGGGTGGTCCCCTTTTCTTCCACAGCCTAAGGCGGCTTTCAAGCCCGCCTCACAATAACAACAACCCTACGAGGTAGGCCAGGCCGGGCCTGTCAAAGAGTCAAGCCCTGAGGGGGAACACCCCCCCCCCCCCCCCCCCCCCCCCCCCCCACCAACCGCCCCCTCAGGCCCGGCCCCGCCCCTCGTCCCAACGGCCGTTTCTTCCCCCCCTCCCCTCCCCTCCCTTACGGGCAGAGCCCCTCCGCCGCGGCCGCTTCTCCTTCCTCCGCTTCCAGAGCGTCGCTCCGCCGACGACGCAAACTCCCCCGCTTTACGGCTTGTCGCAAAAGCCACCCCCCCACACCCCTCTTTTCTTAGCCTGAGGAGAGTTTTGCGCGCGGCGAAATCAACGGCCGCGGGGCGTGGCCTCGCCGTAGATCTAGAAATTGTTTAGAGTGACTCTATATATATAGAGAGAGAGAAAGAGCGCTCTCCTGGCTCTGCGAAGGGGGTCACTTCCGAGTTCCACTCGAAGGAAAGAAGGCTTTGTCAAGGCCTGGATAAGGCGAAGTCAACGGCCGCGGGGCGTGGCCTCGCCGTAGATCTAGAAATTGAGTAGAGTGACTCTCTCTATATACATAGAGAGAGAAAGAGCGCTCTCCTGGCTCTGGGAAGTGGTCACTTCCGAGTTCCACTCGAAGGAAAGAAGGCTTTGTCAAGGCCTGGATAAGCCTTGGATGCTTTTTAAAGACTGGTTGGACTGAAAGACTGGTTGGACTGGTTTTAAAGGCTGGCCGGCCACGTGGTCCTTATGGACGTTTGAGGGGTTGCAGGTGGGAAGCTGCTTGAGAGAGGCTTCCTTGGGGAAGGTTCTAGAAAGGGTGCAGAGAAGAGCAACCAAGATGATTAGGGGAGGGGTCTCCAACCTTGGGCACTTTAAGACTTGTGGAAGTAGGAATGGATTTCCAGAGGGAAATAAAATACCAAACTACAGCAGTGTTTCCCAAACTTTTGACACATGTGAACTCCCTCCTATAATTTTCGTAAGGCTGAGTACCCCTCATAAAAAACATATGCTTTAATAAAAATCAAAATATATTTATTTTTTTGGTACATACACAAAATAAACGAAAGTTATATTAAGAACATTTATTTGATTCAATGAGAAGGATGAAATTGTTTATGTTGAGATGACAGATCATCATAATTTGGTTCCCTGGTTGTTAATTTTAATCTGAGATGCGGTTCCACGTCCAATAGCCTGTTCCTTTTTTTCGACTTAATGTCTACAAATGCAGAAAAAGCAACTTCGCATAAATATGAAGTTGGAAAAGGCAAGATGTATTTCGGGACTTTTTTCTGTTAAAACCGGATACGCATGTTGCATTTGTAACCAGAATGATGTTAAAGTACACTCCTTATGTTTATTCCTCAAGAATCCGTCCGAAGCTAACTCCAACAATTGCTCTTCTTCCGCATGCGACAAACCTTCTGGCATGGATGTTGTGTTAATGTTGAACGGATATCTTATAATAATCAATAATTATAATAAATAATCAAAATCAGTGGAACTTACTAAAGCACGATAACAGGCGCCCGGAACTAATTATTAAAGAAGTAAGTTGTCTCTGTAAACAAAGTATACTGTATACTGCACTCTGGAAGTGCAATATATTCATGCCGTGTCACGCCTCACAAGACTGTCTAACCGTTAGATAACACTGCAATTCTCCGGCGTTTAAACAGCTCCGCGGCTCAACGTCAACTGTTAATGTTCCCGCAGTTTAAAAATGGCCGAACCCGAGCTGCGCGAAGGTTGCGCAGAAGTTCCCGCCATAGTGAGTTGCGATACTGTTGGAAGAAACTTCCTTCTGGGTTCTGCTCCAAGTGGGGAAAACAGACACTGGAAACATGGAGACTGCTTGGAAAGATGGTTTAATGGTGGACAGGATCACATGGCTTGAGTTCCTGAACAGAAAAGGGCAGATACAGTAAATCCTCGGGTTTTTATGCTCTCTCTGGCTCTGCATTTCTTGGGGCCCCGAAAGAGTATCCTGATTGGTTGTCAGACTCCCAGGGGGTGGGGGTCTTGCTGGCTGATGCAATCTTCCCAGGTGCCATGTGGTGAGCCTCGTCTAGATGGGTCCCATTGTGTTAGTTTCTGTTGCTATTGTGTTGCAAATGTCCTTTGACAAAGGATTGGGTTTCTGCCTCTGTCCCATTAACAAAGGGTGGGGGGCAGGAAGGTGGGAGCTGCTTCTCCCAGGGAACATGCTTCTCCCAGGGAAATATAATATCCTGCCTTTTTCATATTTCCTAAAATATTTCACTCTTCCAGGAGAGGGGTGTGTGCTAACTTCCTACAATCCCTACTCTTTTTTTTTTTCAAAACGTGAGTTTTGAAACAAGTTCTTGGCAAAAGATTAAAATTGATCACATCAGGGAGCCTTAATGGGTGCTTTTAATTTTCTAATGCAAAGGGGAGGCATTGATAGAGGCAACAGAAAAGGATTCCTTCAGTGGCTTCCAAAAGCTTTCAACCATGAAGGTCTAGCAGCCAGGAAAAAATTTCTGGTAAGAATTTTACAGTATCCAATTTTCCATGCCAATTAATTTCAGACTTCAGATATTACTTTCTGTGAGCTTCCAGTCAGGTTTCAAGCAAGCACATGTCCCAAAATTTTTCACAGCCATAATTTTCCTTTAAATTGCAGGCTGCCCATTTCCAAGGGTTGATTACTGAACCTGCCCTAGCTTTTGATTGCATCCAGGATTTGTGAGTCCAAATTGAGGTTAGCCAGTTAGCCAATATCCATTCTTTTGTTTTCTTTTTTTTCTTTTTTTTTTTTTTGTTACACATAATGAGCCCTGGGATTTCTACTCATGAGACCACCAGTGCAATATATCTTCCTTTACTGGGCAACTGGGCAGCATCATATGTGAGTCACAGTCAGGGCTTGGGTTTTGGAGATCACTTTTTCTGCTATCTCTTCAAGTAAGGGAATTGCCTGAGGGGGATTGTCCCCTCCCCATCGAATTAGCAGGGAGATAAGACTCCTTGGGCTTTTAGTGCCACAGAGCAAAAATCAATCTAGGAGAAGCTTTGTGTGGAGGTAAGTGAAGGAAATAGTTTCAGTCTAATTCTGAATGGTGTGTCTCTGTGTGTGCATGTGCATGCAGCTACTTTTACAATATAGGCAATACAAACATTTTGGACATATTTCTCCTCTCCACCAGACAGAAATCTAGAGTGTACATAACTTGCTGTGGCAATCACTCTCAAATACAATTCTTACAATAAACTGATTACAATATAAATGAGACAAGAAAGAAAACCTTACAATGAATTTCCACCCTCCCCCCATAGTCTTTCCAGCTGTCTTCTGGGAATTGAAAAGAGTCTTTTGGTCTTTACTTGTACATCTCAGGGTCTTTTCTTTCATGTCTGCTGGGTAGCATGCTTGGTGGTAAGGCTGGTCAGTCAGGCTTGGAAAGGTCTGCTCCACTCTGGTTGCTGTGCTGACTTTCAGTGGAGACTGGATTCAAACCCAATTTCTGGTTCAAACCGATGGAAGGTCTCCTTTGGAGGCAGCATCTGGATCCATGTGCTCTGCTTCCACAGGTTGCAGAGTCCTTTGTGCAGGGCTGAAAGACATGAGAACAGGGTCTCCTCCTCCTTTTTTTTGTGGGTAATCTTCACAGGAAAGGCATTGTAACAGGATTAGAGATGGGGGGGGTAGATAGCTTGCAGGCAGAGTTTGAAAAGAAACAACACAGTATTGCAGTTACTAAACAGATAATGCAGTTTCAACAAAATGGAGACACAACAGATAAGAAAAACTGGATTCACATGCTTCAGGAAAGAGATGAACAGGTAAACCCATTTAAACACATACAGTAAATGCAAGACTGATTTTTTTTCTTGTAAACAAACTTAAAACGTTTCCTCATAAACTTGAGTTATTACTTTAAGATACAGAGAGAGGAGGAGAAAAAAAAACAAATGAAATGAAATGCTCTCTTTAATCTGTGTTTGTTGGCCAGACAAACACAGGGCAAAGGCTCTTTCTTTTTTTCTCTCTCCCCCATTTTCATTGCTTCAACCTTTTTTTTTCTTTTCTAACAATTTAAAATTCTTGTCTCTAGAGATCAGATGCATTTTACAGTTACAATTACCTCAAGGGCGCACAAAGACTTAGACACACACACATAAAACAAGGAAGACAAAGAGAAGAAAACAGAACTCTGAGATTTCACACACACTGATCATTCCCACATAAATCTCAGTTAAATTAGGGAAGGCACAAATCTTAAACATACCACGTGGTTGCATAGAAGACAGAGACAAACAAACAAACAAAACAAACAAAAACCCCAACATTCCTATTTATATATTTCCCTTTTCTTTTAAGTACCTTTAATTAGCCAAATTTGTCTCCGGTGTTATCTCTTAGCAAAGCCCATTTTTGACACAATTTTCCTAATTTCCTTTTATCCATGCCCCTCAATATGGGCACCCGCCTGGCGTCCCAGGCCACGAGCACTTCTTCCACAGGGGTCCCCGCCACCCGCGAACTATCGCTACCCATGACCCTTTCCTTTTCTCCGGAAGGATCACTTCGACTTAGCCGGGTGGCACGCTCTCAGTTTTCAGAGGAAAAAGCTCTGGGAAGGACTTCGATTCCCTTGCGAAGTATGGGCCCCTTCCTCTAGGGAATCACCACAACTTTTCGGATCCAAAAAGGGGATCCGCGAGGACCTGCTGACCCCTGCAGCCAGGTGTGGGCACCTCCTCTTACACACACACACGCTCGCCCCGTGTCTGGACTGGACAGAACCGGGTTTCCCTTTCACAATTTTATTACCCCCCGCCCTTCACACGCTTCTGTTCACTCGGCTTCCATTCCTTTTAAACACAAAGTTCCACATTTGGCAACCCCCCCTTGCTTTCTCTATCCTACCGGTCATGGCTCGGTGGAGCTAGCAGTAGGCAGAGGTGCGGCTAGAGGTCACTCAAAGAGGTGAAATCAGACTGTTTTCCAGGTGGAATCCCACACACACACTTCCTCCTTCCCTAACAGAAGGTCCTGTGCTCTGGCAAAACCCCCATGCTCTCCAGACTGTTAGTCTTTCTGCGGCTAGGAAATGCACAGAGGAAGCAAGATCCAGCTGTACTTGGGAGAAGGGCCTTCACTCACACACATGCAGGCATACACACATTTCCCATACTTTTTTCCCATGCTTTAAATTAAAATTTAGAGGTACTCACCTTCTTTCCAAGCAGCCTTTGAGCTCAAACTCAAAACCCCTTTAAAACCTAGTTCCAAATGGCCAAGGTCCATGAAAACATGCCCACAGA